AAAACAGGGCCACAAACCGACAATTTGCGGTTTGGCAGGTGGCCTTCCTAGCTAAACGAGGCTGGAATTCTTGGAGTCAGCTTTCGGGAAGAAATTCCCGGGGCGAAGGGTTTGAAAGGCTAATGGGAAGGTGTACAGGTTTATGGATTCTGCAGATATTGTTGACATGAAGTGGAATTGCCATTTGGAATCATCACCTGAGGATAGTTTTATCGTACAGGAAGTTCAAACATGCAGATTGTTTACCTCAACCATAAATTCAGCACTGTTTAAGGAATGTCTTATTAGACTAAAAACTAATTCTACTGGGATATTGACTCCACTGCAGATACATGTATGTATACATTGTCAAACATTCCTTTGGAATCTGTTTGGAGAACATGTATGCATTTTATCTGTGACAAATATTGATAACCCCATTTCGTGCTCCTGGTCAATTCAGAGACAGAATTTCAGAGGGTACGAAATGTTCTTACACAGAAGACATCACTCCATCAAACCCAGGAATACATATGTGGAAACAAGTTATCTTTTATATCTCATCAAAAAGTAGTTTAATCCTTCCATCAATCATGTTGAAATCAGGCAAAAGTATTCAGCTCATTCAACTGTGAGGTAAGTTTATCAAAGAAAGGAGAATATGAGAGGAAGCACCCAGCATTTATTTCAGAGCTACATGTACTGGTACCTGTGCTTTAAAGAGCTTGACCAAAATTGGAGATTTTTCATAGAAGTTAATGCCTTATTTTTGTTTACTTTCTAGTACCACTGATTTCTCAAAAAGTAAACAAAGCCGATCTCATGGTGAATTTTTGACTTTGTGAGTAGGAGTTCATGCATGTCATGGGTCTGGATGTTGCTTTTCTCTATTTTGTGCCTGTTTTGACAAGTCAACCAGAGTATACACATGAAGATATACATACATGTACTGGACTGAAGTGTATTGCTTATTGTTGAAGTGTTCCTTTAGATAAATAAGACGTGTCGCAGGTATGAAATATTCTCCCCCCACCAAATTTTGGTTTATTCCTATGCATATCTTGCATGTACTTACTTGTTTCAATTGCTTATTTATTTCATTCATATACATTAAATCAGCCAATCATAAACACCTTCATTGCAGGTTTCATTTTCAGTTAGTTAAATTGTGGTTGAAGACCAGAAGAGACACATCAGGTTAAACATTTTTTTTTTCTCTTATAAAACATTTTCGAAACCAATTTGCTGTGTACTCTTCGTAATTGTTGACCGCAACAACCCAGGGTCCCACATATGTAATATACATTGTTTTGTTGATGATTTTACCCACGACTGTATTGTTCTGTTACATTTCTTTTAGCTGAAGCGTATGTCAGAGCACATTTACAGCAAGCATCTCTCAGATGAAGCATCAATGCCAGTCAATTTGGACAGCAGCTGTCGATCCAAGGTTTTACAGGCCATAAAGAATCCATGCCCAGATATGTTCAAAATCCAACAACAACAGGTTTGATTTCAGATTCCTTTTATATCAAGTCTTAATAACTTTATGGACCCAAAGTTGAAGCTTATGTTAGTCCAGGGACTAGTTGATGATACAATTTGTCATTGACAGTTTGACACCACATATCGGCAGCTGCTGCATAAGAATGCTTGAGTGCCATTATAAAGTGTTACAGACAAATACAGTAGTTTAACAATGTTCTCTTGTCAAGTTATCCATTTTTTTTTTTGGCAAGATAATTGGAAATAAAGTTGCATGGTCCCTAATAGATACATAAGCTGTTTGCATGGTACTTGATGTAATGATAAACAAGATGGTCAGTTTGGTGTGTTTTTCTGAATCCCACAGATCTTCCAGTTGATGAAGTATGACAGCTACACACGCTTTCTGAAAAGCCAAGTGTATCAGGATTGTGTGTTAGCAGAGATGGCAGGTAATCCTCTACCAGGTTTCTGTCGTCAACGTAGCGATGGAAGTGTCAGCAGTACTGAAGAAGCAACAGGTGATAATAAGAGAGCACAGAAAGGCAATAAGAAAAAGGTGAGACAATCAATGGGTGGTGACGAGTGCTTTCCTTCTTAATTGCCTTCATTTTCTACTGCCTTTGCCTATCTTTCCTACGTATGTACTGTGCAAATACATACAGAGAAATAACTTAAGGTTTTGGAATTACAGTAATGCTGAATGCAACATCAGACCATCAGAATTAAGGAAGTACCCGTCTTCTGTTTCAAAACACAACTAGTTTGCACTACACAACATTGCACATAGGAATTTCGGCTTTCACTCTGCTCACATTCCTCTTGACTATAAAAAAAGTCACAGATGTGATCTTTTGCACATGTATTTCTAGTTGTATTCCATAACTTTTGGTCTGAGAATAAAAAGACTTAGTTAAAAAAAAGGAGTAAGTCACAGGATTTGCGTGTAACACTCATGTGAAATAGGAGAGTGTTTATATTAAAATTAAAAACAAAAAGTGTCACTCTTCATGCTACAGATACCAGTGTCAGATACTGAATTAGAGCTTGCACTCTGAATCATAAATAGTGTGTTACAATACATGTATGTACCATTACCTTCTAACACTTATAACAAGGGGTACATTTGTACTTTCATTCACTTTCTGTTAACTCATGGTATGTTTATACAGTGGGATAATTGTTGGAGGAAGAAAAGCTGTAAATGGCTCTGAAACAATGATAAATGTTTTAGAACAGTGATGTCTTTCAGGAGGCCATCAAAAAACTCCCTGTATGGTGTCGTCTGTAAAATCAGACAGTCTGCCTGCCCTATGTCCAGAGCCACTAACAAAACTCCCCTACATGTATGTACCATACAAGGAGTGATTTTCTGTTGGAAATGCCAGTAATTTACTGAAACACTGTAATTAAAAAGTCAGTATTTCTTATGACTGTTTTAGGTCCATTTCTGTTGCTTTTCCTATATCAATTTCTTAACTTTGAAACAACAAAATCTATTTAACTACTCCCTGCCAGGCGACCCGTTTTCGAGTATATAGGCTTTATATGCAGAGCTGGGGAGCCCGGAACTTGGACAAAAGACCGTGCTCAGCACAAAAGACTCAGCTGCTGAGCATTACGGAAATTTTTTCTCTCTCAATCGTGGAGATAATCCAGCCTTGTTTTGAAACAGTATGCCACAGTTTAAGGCATTTAGAGAGAGCGGATTACCACCAGGGACAAAAGCTCTCCACCACCGCAGCAATGAGCTGTACGCTAATCTGGCCCCCATAAAAGAGGTCAGCAGTGCAGGGTGCCAGTTTCAGGAACAAAAGAATTTTACGAAACACCGCACAATCTGGGATCTTTTTCTAAGGCTGCAGGCCTGGCTGAACTATTCAGGGGTCAATGAATTTTACCTGTCAGCTTTAGAGTAGTACCTAAAGAGTCCTTCATTTTAGTATAAATGGCCATTAAATGGAATTATGAATTTTTGAAGAATTTTGAAAACGGAAAATCTTGAAAAGGACCAGGCATCTTGTCTTGCTCAAGAAAAATCCACCCGGCAGCAAGTGGTTAATGTGAGTGTGGTGAAGGTCAGGTCTCATTCCTCTTGTCTCACAGCATATTAATTAACATGTAGTTGAAGCTTACTTAATATTCTTTATTCCTGAGAAATTGTTTATGTTTTCTCATGATTTTTCAGGTTGCACTTGCTAGTTTATACAGTACATGTTACATGTTTTGAGCTGACAAATATATGATCCATGTTAGACACAGACCTGTGACAAATTCTTAGGCAGTTAATACGTACCATCAAATTGTTGTTTGTGTATATTCCAACATTATAAAAGCATAACAGGGCATGCTGTTGATCAACATGGGTAACCTCAATGGAAATACTTTAATTGACTTGAAATGTAGTTCCCTCCTGCAGCTTTTAAGTCAATGGACTTTCTACCTTAAAAGAGCTGGGGGTGGCAAATTGGCTGTCTCTGATCCATTTTAAAACCCAGCGTGCATTTCAATGACATTTATTGTGTTCATCTCTCTTGTTACCATCATTTGAAGTTTATGGGCTCACACATGTCAGTTCCACATGCATCAAGTATTTCAATGGAAAGGCACACATTTTTGGCCGAACTGTTTCAGAAAAGTCAGCACTGAGAGAACAAGTACTGCTGTCTTTAAAATGGCAATATCATTGTTTCCAACATTCATTGTATGAGTACACCTGTAGACATTTAATATTCATAAAATATAAGAGATTGAATCACTCTTTACTCATTGTCTGTTTACAGTTTCTGGGCCTTCGATTGTCCACTTCACTCTCTAACCATTGATGAACATCTTCACTGACCTGCACAAATGAAATCTTACTTGCTGTGTATCAGAACTCTTGGTTAATGAGCAAGTAGGAAGTAATCTTTTGGAGAATACACGTCTGTTTCAAGATTGACTTTTAAACAATAAGATCCTGAGCATTGCAAACAATGAAGATACTTAAAAACAATGAAGATATTTAGAAATACTGATGTTATTGTTTTCTGCCTGCACATGAAGTACACGTATGAACATGTACAAATATCTTGTAAATGTCAATGTAAGAGACATTTAGATTCCTAGCCTACAAACAATTGTACAATCCATTAAAGAGCATAAGTGTACATGCACTTTTATGGCACCGGTACATTGCATTGAATATGATCCGTTGATAAATAATTTGGCCATTTGTATACATGTAATTTTAATTATAATACCAAACTTTATATTGCAGTAATTTACTTCATTGAACATCCATTTTGTTTAAATCGCAGCACACCTGTGATATGATCAGGTACAATGCATTGTAGATAGAATAAATGAAGCAGTCCTGAATCTTAAAAAATGAAAGAAGGACGCAATAATTTTTCACCCTACAGGTACATGTCTGTACACATATTTGTAATATTTGAAAAGATGGTAAAATCTTTCATTTTTGAAAGGAAAACTTGTAATGTAGATTGAAATGGTATATGCAATTCTGATTGCAGCTTGACTTGTTAACAACTAATCGATAGATAAACATGGTACTGTATGTGTTGCGATAGACTCATTAATACCCTTTCATGGGGAGGGGGAGGGATAACGTGCACACATGTCTGGATTTATTTGTAAAGAGTATACCTCGCTTTAATCTGACTCATCCCTGTCACATTGATAATGATTTGATGCCTCTACATGTACATGTACATTGCACGTACCTCCATTGCTGTGCTCTTTGCTCACTGATCCATATGTTTTGTACCCACTATCCTGTATGTGATGGTGTGGTTGTGGAATGCATACAACCATAGTAATGCTTGGTATTGGAACAAGCAATTAGTTAAGTTTTACCTGTCATAGATTTTATAGTTTAAATGTGATCATTTTATACGTGTATGTAGTTACATAATTAAGCTTTCACACCATCATGGACTGCACATATAAATAAATCACTTTCCTGTGTCATATTTCCATCTGTCTTTCTAATTCATTGTTTGTGTTGGTACTTGTATTTCATGTACATTAGTGGAAATCTGTGCATTGATCATCATCTGTACTCTCTTCCCAACCTTACATGTACATGTATATACGTAGCCTGTTTGCCCATTTTTGTGACAGCTATTTTTCTGACTGTGTGTGTCTGTACTGCTCCGTTTGATTGGTCATCATGGTCAAACTAGCCCTTCCCAACCTAGCCTTCATAGTCACTTAATATTTCTTTTTCTTGATCTGTCACAGTTCTGGTCCTTTCAATTACAATGTAATCCACAGCAAAAGAGCCTCTTCCACGTTAACTGTCACACCTTGTCACCTGACTACTAGTTCCATTTTTTTTTTACATAATACTTGGTGACAACTTCAAACCAATCAAACAAGCAATTATAGACCTGCCAGCTGAGGATCTGGTGCCTTTCACTTCCTCTGTAGCATCCTTACTGTGGACTTAAAGTAAGGACTAGCTATCCATACAAATCTGACGTTTCAGTACATGCCCGTGTACATGAGTTAAATCAATCCTTACCTGTAGATACATGTAATACAGTATGATTTTCATTCACGAAAGACCTGTCAGAATTGCTATAGCAGTCTGTCCATATGCCCTGGGAGTTACATGTAGTTATCTCTGATAAACCAATTTCTGGGTACTTGGAGAGCTGTGCAGGCAGATATGTGGTATAAAATGACCTTGAACTTTAACCTCTAGCACCAGGTAAACCAATCCAGGAAAAGCCACAGTTGACAAAGTTGTGATCCAGGAATTGCTCTGTACTCCCATTCATCATTTGTGATCTGTTTACAGCATAAAACCATGTGTGCTTATCTTGGTGGTTTCTGTTCTCATTGCCTTTCCCGTGAAGAATATCCTGCATATCTAAAGAGGAAATGGTTACTTGTGTATCAGTTGTCATTTGTAGAACCACTATCAACAGAATGAAATGACATTAGAGATGTGTGCTTACTCCATGTACCTACAGTGTATTCAAGGTGATGTTGGCCATACTGTAGTTCTGTTACATATTGCAGGAAGTTCTCATTTGTACATTGTATTATAGGATGTGCATGTACCTTTGAATACAGGAATTGCTCCTTATTGTGATTGGTTCCTTAATTGTGTGCAGCAAACATGTGTCATACACAATTACACGAACTTGAACCAAACAATAGAGGGCCTTTTAACTATTCTATATTGCTTTCTGCAAAGAACCTGTTATGGTATGCCATCACTTTCAACACAGCAAAATGCTGAGAACCATTTCACAGCATATAAAGGAGTTGGATGCTTCCAAATCCCTTACTTCAGAAGAACTGATTGTAAAACTATTAAGAATTCATATTATGATCAGTAGAGTTTTAATATCAGAATGTGCGTGCAAGTGGACAAGGGTTATTTATGATACCGTGCTTGCATAAAGAACACCTTTATTGTTAGTCAAACTTAACTAATAGATGATAACGTATCACAGTGTGGTTGCTTTTGTAAAACATACCGGTATGCGTCTTTGTGCGCCAGAAGTAAGTGTTATGAGGAAATGTGAATCATGGTTTTCGGAAAGACAGAGTTTTTACATTTCCACTCTTGACGATTAAACTATTGGTTTTACTACATTAAAAGTACTCTGTTAATCTGTTACTCATTTCAGTATCAGCTTTGGAAATCTTCCAAATCCTACGGTGTGGATGCAACTGCAGACAGCCCAGAGAAAAAACGCAAGTCACTTTTGCCATGGAACAAAGGTAGGGCCATTCGACTTTAAAACAATACCAAAAAATAAACTTCAAGCCTACAGGGAAGGGTAGGGGTGCTGCAGGACTCAAACTGCATGCTCATTACCTCAGACTCCGACTTTGATGGAGTTCAGGAATGTACTAGAACACGCTTAAATGTACATACATACACTTTGAGTACACACGAATACGTATCCTAGCACCCAGTATATCCCCTGGCTAAATTGTGTTTCACCAGGGTGGTAAAAATTTGAAGGAATGTGACGCAGCCTTAGTAATGAAAAGGGGACATGTAATATGAAAGTGTCTGGAGTGAAATCTACTTAGTCTACATGTAATTATTTGGCTAAAGCAGGGAAGATAATAATAGTGCTCAAGGCAAGTAAATGTGAACAAGTCTAGAGAAATTTCTGTAGAATGTGTCTCATTTCTTAATTTGATAACATAATGCTGTTTTTCTCTCATTTAAAGGAATCAGTTGATAGTAGTTTAATTTAAAAGTATGATTTTTCTGCATGTAACTCATTGCAACCAGGTAAAGCTTTAACTAAACCTAATAGTGGACTGGAACCATCTACAGTGTGTACATCAGATTCAGGTAAGTATTACTTGTCAAGACAACAAAAGCTGGATGTGTGCACTTTATGCTGTTGGCATGTGCTCACACTGTGGAAAGTGCATAGAAAGTGGAAGGTTGTGCACAGTGCTGTTTGAATCGTTGCAAAACTTTAGTGCAGATTAAGCACATTCCAGCCAGGTATCTTCAGAATACAACAAAACTCCCTGTGTCAAGTCTTGAAATGGTTAGTCTCTCATTAGACACACACACAATTTCAAAATCAAAGGTTTCTGTGAGACTTGCCCTGGCCAATCTGCCACCTTACAGTAACATGTATGTTTCACATTCAGCCGGAAGCTTTGGTTTTTTGCCAGTCCCTTTCACTCAAATGCATGATTGACGGGAGAAACCATTTTGAGAATCCAGATTCTACTCGAAAAGACTTTTTCTGATAATTTGGAAGCTTTCTCTCTATAGGATTCTATCCCTATTTGATTGTCATTTTCTTTGTTTTACTTGGTGTATGAATTTATGAAGTATTTCTGTTGTGATAACTGTGCTACTTTCAGTTTCTAGACTTACATAAAAGCCTTTCATTAATATGTGTAGATGCTATGATACTGCAGACTTTTTCCTTGTTGGTTTTTACATACATGTGTTGGTGTGTTTCTTGCCAGTGTTTTGTTAGTAACTTTGATACCTTTGCTCATTTTTATACTAACTATTAGGACCTCTGAGACTGTCACATAGTCATCCATCAGCAAATAGTGGGAATCTGATGAACAAGACGGCCCCTGTAACAAGCAGAGCCAGTCAGAATGAAGAGGTACCTGTATCTATTCAGTTGAAAAGGGCTGTGGCATTAATGGGCATTACTTTTGGACTTATCTCATTGAACAATGCACTTCTAAAACATTAAAAAAATTTCTGTGCTTTTCCTGTTGCTCTGATTTCAAAACAGGTTGATGGGGCTCATTTTAGGGTTTTTCCGTTTTTATTGTGATCGCAAAAAAAAAGGTTCGTTGAAAATATTTCTGTGAAAACTACCCATTGACCTATTTAGTCGCACTGAAACAACAAATTGCAGAAACAAAAAAAAAGAAATTTAACACCAGCTGTTGAAAGTTTGACCTTTTTTTTTGCTTGCTGAAATACTAGGTAGTTCCAACAGAAAGGTTTTGTCTTTTCCTCATGAATATACAAACTTGCACTGGCATAAAAAAGGCACTAAGAACCTGTAAAATGGTTAAAAAAAACTTTAAAATGAAAGTATTAGTAAATGGGACAGAAAGGTGAATTGTCTTGGACCTGATTTAAAATATTGTATGGCATATACAACATATAGAAATCTAGAAGTAAGAGTACGTAGCCTTGGCAATTTGACTAAGATGAAAATTAAAACAGTACTCGCCAGAAGATGTACATGTACTACTGGCTAGATTGTACTGCAATATCAAATGTTCTCACTTCATTTACAGTGTAAATATATGTATGTGTATAACCCCATTTTAATAGGCTATTCCAATGGAAGGTACATGCCGACTGGTTTTCCCTAATGACGATGTGGTTGTGTTGCCTGCAAGACATGGGTTTACTGTACGTGATGTGCTTACACCTCATCTTGATGTGCGACAACTAAGCTTGCAGTCTGTCGAAACATTCCTTGCTGATTCTAAAGAGGTGTATATCATTCCTGCTTCAGCTTAATAATCATTTACATTTGGAGATGCTCTAGTCAATGGACTACCAGTGCTGTCACAAGTAATCAACAACTCCTGACATGTAAATTGATGTCCATAAACCCTACAAAAATGTTGAAATAACTAAGTCTTAATTATCTATCTGTTGAATGCGCATGCAGCTGAATTCTGATTGTCTACACTTGTAGTAAATTTGTTGTTCCATTCACTTCAGTAAAACAGTAGATCGCCTGTGCTTCTCAGTCAGAACTGAGCATCTCTGAACTCACACTAATGTGAACAAGTTTCTTATTGCATATCACATGGAAGTAAAAACTCCATTAGTTTCTGAATGTTATACTATCTGTGTGTGTATTAACAGTGACATTCTTTCACCATTCTTAACAGTCATATCCTAAGAGCAGGAAAAAGGTACAATGTGTTTGTTTTTGCCTGTGTTTAACTGCATGCTCACTTCATTTTGTTGCAATGTCGCTATGTGTATGTCTGTACAAACTTGACTAAGGTGGAATGGTCTCTGTCTTGATTAAACTAGAATATATGGTGAGGGGACTTCAACTGGTTTCTGTCTTCATGTATTATAAAAGTTGTCTGTCTTGTCTTTACATGTTTGTGGAGGGATGGTTATTTTTTGTTACTATTGCGAGGGATCTGTTCAAACTTGTAAATGTTGGTCCATTTGATAGTAAATACTGGGATGAAATGCTGCTTTATCAAATGCTGCAACCATTTGTATTGAAACTCTTTTGTATTATTTGCTTTCAATATAACACTGTCCAGCAGTCATCAAACTGTTTTGCGTTGACTAAGTTGCTCTCTGGATAGTCTGCATCCTTTCATTGTAATATTATAATGCATTTCCTCTTTTATTTCACCTAATAGATTGTTGACTATCAACAAGACATGGCTACCATGGCAGGTGCTGAGATTGTTATTGAACAAAGAGTAGTCTTCAAGTAAGTATTAAACCATTATTGTTTATTGTAATGTAAATGTAGAAATCAAACACATTCAGTTATGTCTAACAACAAACGACAGTTGTGGGGACTTCCTGCACACGTCTCTCTGTCATGTTTCTGTAGTGTACATAACTCTTAATTATTTAAGACTTCAGTTAGAACAAACTTAAAATGCTGTCCCCTCCAAGCATAGTACGTTCAATCTGCAATTTTACTTTTAAGCCATAGAAAAAAAGTGAGATTGTTTTCATTTCCAGGATGGAACTACCAAGCCACAGAGTCATTGGTGTCAAGTCTAAACCAACCAAAAAATTGATTGAGGTATTGCGGCCAGTCACACATAAATACAACCTGCAACTAGATGAACTTGTCGTGCACCTGGTAATGTCTCCCTTTTGTCATGTTAAAAGTTCCTTCATTTTAAAAAAGGAATATCTTAATCTCAACCTCACTATCATAAAAGGGCCAGTATAAATCAGCAAATATTGTCTACTATGTTATTAGTACCGCTGAATTAAGTTTATTTTGTATTTCACAAGTGAAGATCTTGTATATTATTATCAGGTACTTTGCTGGTTAATTGCTATCATTTGTGTATTTAATATATGGTATCTTATAGCTGTAGCCCTCCCAAATCACCCCAAATGCCACAAAGGGGTTGTTAGCATTTAATATGTTGAAAGTAGTTTCAACCTCAGCTCACAGATTACTTACATGTAGTTTATGTTTGTTTTTACTGTGGTCATTACAGAACAGTTCACCAGTCCCTCTTGACCTGGACATTACAGTTGCATCGTTAGATGGGCAGAAGATTCTGATTGAAACTTTGGAGCAATATGGTGGTAAGTTGATTGTGCAAAAACATGTTTACTTTGATGCATCGTATAATGCATATGTCGCATTGAGACTGATTAGGGCCTCTGTCACCTTAACAATGAGTGAATAGGATGATATGATGCACAAGACCAAAACTTAACATTGTAAATCTCTGTCCTGTCAGCTGGAAATTATCAAGTAAGAGCCAGAGTTGATCCAGCTCCAAATGGGACAATGCATAGAGCAGCATCAGAAGATAGCATAATTAGAAAACAAGATGCAAGACGAACTCATCAACCAGTTCATCTTCCAAGACGTCTTTCACAAGTAAGTGTACCATCACAATCAGGCCAAGATGACCCAAAAAGCTGCACCCTTCGTGCAACAACAATATGAGGCTAGGGTTTGACTTTGTCTTCACTTTCTCAGGTTTTCATTTGATATCACTATTAAAGATTGCCCCACTGAGCTGTAAAGATTAAACACAGGGAAATTACTGTGGATGAATGACAAGTGTAATATTCATGTTTTTTTGCACGATTTCAAGGTTTGTCTGGTACCATACGTGTGCATCAGAGAGTACTGTCAAACCTTCCTGTAGCTGCACCATGATGCTCCAGAATTGAGTTGCATGTACTCCTAATACCCATTCATGTAGTGAAACTGGCATGGTGTGTTTTTTTTTAATTGTAAACAGTAACTAACTAAAAAACAAACAAACCATGCAGAATGAAATTTGTATCAGCCATGAAATTGTGCGAACTGAAAAATGCCTATGTCTTTGACAAAATATTTTAAATAACATATGAGATATGTGTAGCTCTTGATCATTATTTTTCTTCAGTTTGTTTTCAAGATATTTTTGTTTCTAAAGGTTCAAATCAACTATTTTTATTTTATGTAATCATTAGGTTTTAATAATTCAGGCCAATAGTCGTGTTTCCCAAGGATATCATACAAATTTTCATTTACATACAGTGTCAGTTGATGTGCTGCTGGGCCTCTCAGTCCTTTGGTAAATTAAATTTGCAGATTCATTCCATGAATCAGGATTTTGAATTTGATTTTTGATTTTCCCCGTTTTTTACATTTGTTTTCCAGAATGAGTTTTCTGGAAAAGAAAACCAACGTGATAGTGGGAGGACATCAGTTCCTGACATCAAATGTCAAGCTGTTACTCTAAGACCAAGTAATTCTGATACTTCGGTGCAGACAGTGAAGTCTCAGAATAGGAAATACCGAATCACAAATAACGATGCAGAAGGTGAGTTTTCAATGTGTGGCAACGTGTTGCAATTTTCTCTCTTTTCAAAGTCACTAGTTTACTAAATGGCACACTGCATCACTGTTTCTGGTTTGTTTCACAGAGTGTGATCATACTCCATGACCCACATACATTAACAAAAAAGAAAAGACAAAACATGTTGGGCTTGGGGTTTTCTTTGGGTGTTAATGAGAGAGCTTTTTGACAAGCTAAATAATACCTCGAAGATGATGTACTACTTGCTTGTAATTATTTCTGTGCATGCTGCAAAGATGTGAGTTCCTTATATGTTTTATTTCTTGATGTGGTCACATGAGAGGAATATACTTCCAAATATATTTTTGTTAAAGAGTGAATGATCTTAGGGTCTTTTGTTAAATTTTTTCAGAGTTGTACTCAATGCTTTCAAAGGCTCAGCGTCGGAGAATGGATGATCAGCGTGGTCTGACTATTCGTAATCTAGACTTGCCAGACTTCTTGAAGAAACCAAACAAGAATACAAAGAATCGTTCCCAGAGTGCACTGGGTACCCCTTACCAGAGTGATAAAGGAGACTTCTTGCAGATCCATGAAAAGAGTAAACAATTCAAAGACATGGCAGTGAGATGCAAGTCAACCCCACCAACACCTTACAACGAGGATTTAGGACTTGGAGAAGGAATCATACCATCACACATACAAGCTGAAGCTATATTTGGCAGTAGAGGGCGCTCAAGTGACATTACTCCAATCAGTTTCAATGAGTCCATGATGGCAACGGGTAATGCAAGGCATGATTACGATGATAACCTGGATTTGGTAGATTGTGGCTTTGGATATCATGGTGTCACACACAACAACCTTCAGACAGACATGAATGATGAGAAGTGTAGTCCTTTCACCTATTTAACTGATTCTTCGGTTGCTGCTGGGGGTGATGTTGGTGCCCGAGATTTGAGCTATTCCACTGAATTAAATGATCGCAGTTTGGGATACAATTATCTTAGAGCTCAGCATCATGGCAGGCATCTTCAAGGCAACCAGCACCGCGATGAAGGTTACCGAGGCGAAGAATATGATTTGGATCAAACTTTAACCAAATCAACATCTGAACGCGAGACATTCCTACCTCCTCTTCCAGATGGCCAACTTAACCATACATTAAATCTAGATGAAGCCAACTATTCTCCACCACCACCTCTCATGTCCCAGGATAAGGTGATGTCATTAGGTCAGAGTGGTAATATTCAAGGTAGCACTCTGCCAGGTCATGCTTCGGATATGTCAAACCAGCCTCTAACAGACACTGATTCTGTTAACTTTGGTGATAGCTCTCTAAGTGACGATGCACTTTCCCCACGACTCCCTTCACCTTCGACTCATGACTTAGTCATGACCCCATATCCAGAGGAGGATTTTGACAGTGATTCACGAGGTCATGGCTTCCATCACCAAGATAATTTCCCTCATACTCTCAGAGAAAGTGAACCATCAGTGAGTTCAAGGCCTGATGTTCTTAGATCATTATTTGGTCCAGAGAATATAAATGCTTCCGTACTAGACTTTTCTCAGCAAAATTCTTCCCAACACTTGGCTTCACAGCAAAGCTCTTCCACCGATGACTTAGTATTCTGTGATACCTCACAGCCAAGGATCACACATTCTGCTTCTGCATATCAGGATAGCTCCAACAGTTTGCAGCAAAATTATTCACAAAATATTGCCTCTCGGAGCATGGCTGTAGAAAACAGTGCTCGTCAGGATGTCGCCACTGACAACATTGCTTCACAGAATGTACTCGCAAAGAATGATATTATTTCAGGTAACATGGAACCAAAACAAGGCATCAGTCTTCAGTGGAAGGCAGCAAATGGTGTACAACACCAAAGGATAAATCGTGACAAATGGGAGACTGTTGTCAAAGATGGCCGCACAATGCGAGCAACATTTGTCTAAGTGGCATTGAACACCCTCCTAAAACCCATAAATATATGAAAGTCCTGAATCCTTAATACACATGACACATGTACATGTACAAGGGGTGTACAAATATTGTACATAAGGGGAGTCAAAAACGTTGGTGTTGGTGTAGTTTATTCCATGATTTTGTCAATATACCTTGCCTCTTGCAGAATAATCAGGGCATGAAGTTAATACCAATAGGGCTTAAGGTGATGAAAACTTTTAGAACGAGTCTGATTCATGTACCTCCCACTTTTATTTGATACCTTCTACTTTATCCCTAAAAGTACCGGGCGTTGTTTGTCTTAGTGTACTCAGTCTTACAAAATACTACGTAACACTCTGAGCCTGAAGGACCTAGCGCTACAAATTAATATTTCTGGCTAGGTTTATTCCATTGTTACATATACAGAGAACAATGAAACCATGCATTCATAGTGCCACAGCACTGTATGGTACATTGTCTTCTCTTTTGTATTTTATGGCTTCAGAGAATAATAATGTCATGTCCTCTTACAAGCGACAGGGCTGAATACTACATTTTACTACTAAGTAGTACTTTGTAACATTGGGGACTGTTAGGGTTAAATTAGTGTAGTCTTTGAAGTATCATCTACATGTAGCAAAATAATTTTCAATCAATTAAAATGTGAATTATTAATCATTGGAAAGCTTGATGAATTGTGGCATATACACAATATTCTCTTGGAAGGTTTTGCAGATTTGGTCATCTTGAGTCACACTTTTAATCATACATGACGTACTGATAATTCAAGTTAGTTTGTAGCAAGTTGCTTTTTACAAGATTTATTTTATCGTTAGTGTTTTGTAGCAGGTTCTGATAATTTGTGAAATCATGGGGTTTATTTATTTTAAAAATCGATAATCATGTTTTAGATGAGATGTTTATGATTTCTAGCTTATTTTAATAGCTCCTTTCTTTTGTAGCATTTTGTTTGTTGTGCATTTTTAATGATGGTTTCTGTAGGAATTCTGTATATTTTGTCAATTTACCACAACATCCTGTATGTCGGTTTGTGTCTTTAATCTGATATATTATTTGCATGTTGTACACAAGCCCCAACCAAAGGTTATTGCATCTTCAGACATATATACTTGTGTCTGGATTTGTTTGTTGATAAATGTCCATTATTTGCTTATAAACTGGCTCCTGAAATTTTCCACCTGATGATATTTTTAAAGGAAGGTGCTTATTATTATTGGTGACTCGCAAGATATGCAATGACATGAAATGGTGCCCGTGGGTCCTGCTTTTATGTACACTTTGTACCAAATGAAATTGGTCAGTGGTCCAATTGTGAATAGTATTATCTCAAAGATATCGGCTGGTTAGGGGAGTTTCACAACACAGTAGGGAAGACATTATGTTGGTGGTACAAGGTAAACATTTCAGAACGTCATTTTATCTGGAATTTTCCTATTCTCCCCTGATATTTTGGCAAGTGCCTAAAAGCCCTCTGAACTGCACTTGAACTTCTTTATTGATGCATTTTTTAAGCATGGGGTAGGCTATTATATAGTCAGTGTGATATAATCTACAATTAGTGATTAGATGAAGGGATGCTATTGTTATGATTTCGTGTAGGTCTTTATTTTTTGGCATCATGTATTCATTAAACCATGTGACAACACTTGGTGTTTGAAATCATGGTGTGGAAAAGCATATCGTATTCAAGATTAATGGTGTGATAAACTTGGTAATAATTGCATTCAGTAGATTTGGGTTTTATTATGGTATTCATAAGTGATTGCTCATTTGTAATTGCATGCATTTACTATATTCTATCTTATTAAGCTTTATAACTTCTGCATTAATTTCTTTTTCCAGCCTTTGTGTTCCTAAAAAAAGGGCGTGTCTACAATGTACATGTACATGTACACTGACTGTAGTATAACAGTTCTGTTGCTGTGTTCACAGCTTTATGTACTAAAATGGCAGTCAAGTTGATTAACACATTGTCCAAGGAGAACCTTCATTGTATTTCAAGATATATTTTGCATTGGGGAGATGTTAATTTATATAACGGGTTCAGCCCTTACCCAACGTATATATTGATAAACACTGAATGCTCAGTGCTTGTCCGAGAGCTTGCTTACATTTCAAAAATATATCTTGAAATAGTTCGTGGTACCTGCTGCTACACCTGACACAGACCGGCCAGTCAACCCCAGCAAGCTCAGTGTTCGAGTCGTTAAGTAGTCTGCACTAGTAAGCAGGAGGTCGTGGGTTTGAGTCCTACTTGAGTAAGCTTGTGAATTTTTCACAAGCTCTCGGACAATCACTGAGCATACAGTGTTTGGGCAAAATCCATTATATAAACATTGTTTTGATAGTGCTAACAGAAGAAAAGATTGTGGAACATTAGCGGACAGTGTATGTCAGAGTTGGGCACGACTGCTTAATATGTGGGTTAATTTGCACAATAAATCACTATGATCTGCTTTATTTACAATGTGAAAGACTGTTACAAAAAAGGCAAGTTAGGGAGTTTATACTGGATTTACCAATCACACAGATATCATGCAGACCAGCTGGTCATGCCCCGTATAAATATTAATTTGATTCTTGGCAAGTAGAAATGATGTGTTCACTGTCAAATTAAAAATACCAAGGTACATGTGTGTCTATTCACGTTTTATGTAACATATTTGAGTTAAAGTACACACATGCTAGAGTAATAGAATTTTGCATACATTTGTATCAGAGTTGCTATTTTGTTAACTTGTACATGGACAACTATTTTTGTACCAAGGATGTGTTGAGTTAGTAGATTAGTATGTTTACGAATTTCTCAGTGTCACTGGTTTGTAAATATCACTGTATGCTTGTTCAAAGGACCATTACTGTTGTTCCTAGCACTTACATTATTCATCAGTTATAACAGATACATCCTTTTGAAATCGTGAATTCATACAGCAATTTCGCTGCAATTCCACTGGTTTAAAATTTCATGAAATAAGCACATTCATTTGCAAACCAGAGGTCATTAGACAATTATCACATAAATATTCTATAATAATGCACAGAGTATATTTTGCAGTTTTTTAACATTTTTGTATAAAATGCATGTACATACATTATATATGACGTAGATTTCTTTTGCACTTGGTTTTCAGCATTACTTAACTGATCCATACTATTATGATGAATAACTTTGTGTAAAGACAACCATCCAATCATTGGTTTTCACAAATACCTTATTTGTGTCAAGGTATAGAATCTTCCACATCCATAAATGAGAAGAAAAACACAATTTGGCTAATGGCAGAATTATACATAACAGATGTCACAGGATTGACCAGTAGCACATGTATCACTCCCAACAAATGAAGTTATTTGTGAAGGGGTCGTTTTTATTGACTCCAAATGTCAGTATTCATATGCAAGGAGATTGTTTAAAGACTAAAAAATGTTTCCCTTTTGGTACATACATGGTATGTAAATTAGCTGGGGCATGGTTCACAGATTACTGCTTACAATTGAATTGCCCTTAAATGTCAAACCCATAAACAGTTATTATTAAAGAAGGGTCAATTCTGGTGTTTGGTCATTTACCATACTTAAAATGCAATACAGTTGTTTTTGGGTAACAGTATTAGATCCTTTACTAGAAGGCAAATTTTGCACACTGTGCACGTATCTTCAATACAGAACACTTCCACTACCAAGGCAACTGAGATTTTAGTTCCATTCCACGTAGTCTCAGTAACTGCCTCAAGATGAACAATGAACATACCTGTTAATAAAGACAGTCATTTACTCTCTGTTTGATTCAGAAGGCTTTATTGAACTTTGGAAAGTTTGATTCAATGTGACTGTATCTACTCCACTCTTAAAGCATAAATGTCTTCATTTACATACGTCAAATGTTTGTTTTTTTTTCAAAATTTCGGTCATTGTGCTTTGGATTACAATATAAAATTAGGCTTCGAACAACAAAACCTGAATGACTAAATCTCTCTTACATGTACTTGTAGAAGTAAAACATTGCCCCTTTCAGTTTCTGTGTACAACATTGCACAAGACAATACTACAATGGCTACATTTAAAAACTTTGCTGAGCTGGTGCCACTTTCTGAGTGTGGCTAGACTTTTCTTGACACCATGATGATGGAATAATTATATGCAAACAAGTTAGTACTGTTCAATAAATATGTGGAACATGAATGTAAATAATAGACACAAAAATACTATCAAATAAATTGGGCATCTTGTGACCGTATCAAGTTAAAATAGAGCATGACTTAATCAACATTTCCAGAAAATAAACCTTATCCTACATAAATTTTTGAATTTCAAATAACCAACTTTTTTTAAAATTCACATCAACTTCAAGGTAAGTAGAATGCATACCATTTGACACCACTAAATGAAAAACCTTCAGTTTCAGTGTTTAATCTCACAATGCATGATTGCTGTAACTCTTCTCATTAGTGCATACTTCAGGCATCATCATTTACTGTATTCATTCAGTTGTTTCATTGTCTTTTCTAGTTCCTGCATCTTCCTTGCAAGCATCTTCGCGACCAAGCGTTGATGAGCAAGTGCCTCTGTCTTGTCATTAAGCTGAACAAGAAATTATCAAATACTCAAGATATAATACAGTGGACTTTGTTAGTTGAGAAAAATGGTTAAAGCGAAGAAACTGTTTTGTTCAGGATTAATTTGTAATTGCAATTGAGAGCAGTATGGACAAAGAATTTAGCCAGGTTAGTAGAATACTTATGTACATGTGTTCTAAAACAAAAAGAAATACATGCACAAAGACAAAAAACCCAGAAACCAACAAAATGTTCCAAGGGTTGATGCATGTTCCATAAGAAAAAAAAACGAGCCACTTTCTTACCAAATCTGTCAATGTACCGATCAAATCAAGCTGAGGATCTGAAACTTGAATTGCTGTACTCCTACATGCTTTGCCAGTCTCACTGCTGAGTTTATGGTGATGGTCAGTCCTTGTGATTGATCTTGATCTACAGCTGTTTTCATTATCAAAGCATCCAACTGAAATAAAATTTTAAAGACTGCTTCATTACTTTCATCTTCCAAATGTTCATACATTTCTGTAACAAATTCTCCACCAATTCAAGCCTTTACTGATGATGATGGGTTTTACTGAAGTTTATGATTCTGGTAGATTCCTCATAAAAATGCTTTGTTTGGGGCAAGATTTAAAAAAAAGAAAACTAAACCATATGTTAATGTTTATTTCCCAAAGCCACACATACAAATTGAAAAACTTATTCCACTGCATTTCTACTCTTATGTTTTTGCTGAGTTGTCATTTCAGTGTCATTTACCTTTTGGGGCATCATTCTTCCTCCAGTGATGAACTTCATCTTGTCCCTGTGATCTCCTCTCACAACATATTTTCTGGATTTGCTGCCCCAGTTGTGAGTTCTGATCCAGCTGATTATCAAATGCTGTCCTAAACGAGTCTGCCTTCAGGGTGACAGCCTCAAGATTCTGTTGGAGTTTATCCACCTTCAGATCCATGACCACAACAGGGCATTTTATTAAAACTTGTTCCTACTTGTACCACGTCTAATCCTTAAAGTGACAGCCGTTACATTCTGAGTTTATCCACACATTAGATGCAGAACAAGACACTATTATTAAAACGACAGCACAAGAAAATGTGGTAAAAAACAGATTTAATAAAATGTAAATTGCATCCACACTTGAAGAACAAAATGTTCTGCTAGGAGGGTTTCAAAACTGAAAGGCATGTACATTCATAGTCACTTATGAAGGCCATGCATCCACTTCTAAACAATAATCAAAGAGAACACTGCTGATAAAAAGGCACTTTCCTGAATGGACTATTACATATACAATGGCATTACAAATAAACTTAACAATGTCATCACAATCACTTGTGAGATACTAACCTCATCTTTGAGGATGTCATTTTCCTTCTTGAGTCTTGCAGCAGCTTTTGCACATCCACATGGCTCTGGTTTACTACCCCTACATAAACATGCCCCCAAGACTGCAAACTGCTATAGAAGAAAATATCAAAACAGCACGAACGCAGATGTCAAGCTTGCACCTGTACAAAATGCATATTAAACTAATAATCTATATCTGAATATATGTACTACATGTATATGTTCTGTAATGGAGTTGTACTTGGTGGGGCCACATATGGTTAAGAGTTAATGGGCATACACATAGGAAGTAATATGCTAGGGTTGGGTTGGTTCATGTACACATACGTGTCGGGCTTAACATGATGGCACACCACATGGTACATGTACATGTAACATGACAGTGTGAGAAAACTAGGCAAGGACACTAGGTTGTTTAATCACTTCCTGCCGGGGAGCCCAGTTTTGGGTACTGTGTGTTTATACGCAGAGCCAGGGTGCCCGGTTTTGGACAAAAGAGCTGGTCTGTGTAATAAAAGACTGTACTCTGAAAAAAAAGACCTGCTGCTGGGAATTGCCATCATTTTTCGCCTTCCATCTTTCAAAGGTAGTCCTGCACTGTTTTGAAACAGTACACCACTGTTTGGGTATAGCGCGCACGCAGATTAGCACCGTGGACAAAAGTGCTCCAAGGCTCCATTGATGAGTCACACAACACCGCTGCTCGCTAATCCAGCCTCATACGAAAAGACACTACTGGCATTCACCGGAACAAAGGAAATTATGCAATGCCACACAATTCTGGGCTCTCTTATACAGGGCTGCAGGCTTGGGTTGAATACTCAGCTGTCAATGAAGGGGCCTGACAGATTAGAGCAGCAACCAGAGAGTCGTTCGTGTGGGTGTAAACGTCTAGTGAATGAACACATGAAGTATTGAAGAATTTGAAAACGGAAAATCTTGAAAAGATCCCGCCATCACATCCCGCTCAAGAGAAATCCACCCGGCAGGTAGTGGTTATCATAATGAAAAGTCTAGTGGAGTGGAGCTAATGGCTTTGTGTGATGGAAAAGAGTGGACTCCTTATAATAGCAGGTACACTATATGTAGATCTTGGAAGGAGGGATCTGGGTTAAGACTGTAGACAACATGCACCTGTGCTAATGAGTTGTACAAAAAGGCATCACTTGTCGCCGATTTGTGTCTATCATACTGTAAGCGTTCCTTCGCATCCATCCTAGCAAGGAGTTCATCACGTTCGCGCTTCATTGCTACAATATGTACACAAACATAAAAACACTTCACTACCAACAATTCAAAATACATCAAGGGACAGAAATAAGAGTTAAAAAAACATCAAATTATAGCACCAAGAAGTCTAAAAACTGAAGCACAAAGAAACAATTACGACAATTCCGCTTTAATAAGCTTGGCACAAGCACTTAATGCAAATGCAGCATTCCATCATGTGTCCATGTTACCATTCTTTTCAAGTTGAATCCACCGAACTTGTTCTGTTCTAGCTTGTAATGTTGCAACAAGAGTCTCATTCTCCAGACAAACCCTAGCAACAAAAACCATTCAAACTAACATAAGTGCTAAGAGAAAAAAAATAACGACAACACAAGTACTGAAACTAAACAGGGATGCCTCTACTTTCTCTCGCTGACTGCATGCATATACAACTGCTAAAGTGTCAATGTGTTTATTAAAGAATAGATATGTAATTATAAATGATACAGAGAAAAGTTACAGATTCTGTCATCATCTTACCTGTTAAATCTTTCAGCCCAGGTCTGTTGACTAAGCAACGAATATTCTTCACTTGTAGTCAGATCAAACTGTAAGGAATTTACCTCCTTGAAACAGCAACAAATACAAGTACATTTCTTAACCATTCTAACACATACATTCAATTTTCTGTGTGATCAGAGTCCATAATTTATTGTGATTCTATCCCCTCTTTTTAAATTGTACCTCTTTGCTTTGCATAGTCTTTTCCTTCACATTTTCCCTATACAAGCATGTACATGTTTGTTTCTTTTTTGTTTTGTTTTATTTGATAACACCCATGCAGATTACAAATGATTATATACATGTACATGTACAAACAACTGAATTAACTCAAACGAAATAAAAAAATACATACAAATCCAGGGCATTGTCAAGGACAGCACAAAAAGCTAGAAATAGCCATCTCAATTCAATCCTGATGGCACTGATTACACCAACTTAATCAAAGCAAAAAACAGACAACTGCTTAAACATTACAGACTAGTGTTAATATCCTAATAAACATAGCAAGGAAAGCATTTTTCTCACAGTGCATTAATACATGTCCATGTTGAAGTGATCAATATCCGAGTATAAAGGTGTCTTACATCTTCCAGTGATTTCTTCATCTTTTCAGCCTGCTGAATAGATTTTGTCTTCTCTTTGTTAATCATTATAGCCTGCCAAAAAACATACGAGTAGTGATGAGATTCATGTACTGTGCAATGTACATGTGCTTTAGTTAAGTTAAAACTGGTAAGTGACACATACAGGCACAGGCATTTATGAGCTACCCACTAGAAGGTTGCTATTGGATGTCAGGTTGAATGAAAAAACTTTGAGAACCCAGCAGATCATGCAAAGCAAAATGAATCTGTTACACTCAAATCATCTTGGCTATGACGAACTGTGTATAATGTGCATGTCTTCATGCAACATTATTGTTTAACAAAAAGGAGATGTACTTGTTTAGGTGAACGTTTTACTTATTTCTTCATATGGCTGAAATGAAAATGGTCATTTTTGCCAATGCAGCATTAATGCAGCTACACAGCATATCACACATGCATGTATATAATTACAAAATTCAGAGGACCCTCAAAAAAAATTCCAAAGTAAAGTGTCTAACCTTCCACCTTTTCAGGTGCCGTGGCACATGAAAATAAACTAATATAGGTAGACTGTGTGGCATGCTTAAGAAAAATATCATGCGAGAGCTACATGTAACCATGGTAACAGAGAAGTTCCCCAATGAAAATATTCAAAAATACAACTTACATGTGCAACCTAAAGGTACATGTATGTATACAATTGGTGATGAGTAAAGAAAGGGAAACAACAGTTAGTGTGTACATTTCTCACTCACTCTCAACAGTAAGGACATTTTGGTACATACATACATATTTACACGTACAACATTCAGGACTTCTTTTTTCCAGTTTTTAGTTTTTACTTCTGTCTCCATGGGAACCTGCAGCCAATTTTTCCCTTGCTACTGAAGCAGAAGCAGACAGAGATATCAAGTGTCATGGACCCAAATTTTGACAGGTCAATCCTATTATAGAGTAAAATTTAATGAATTGGTCCATTAATGTCTAATGATGCCTGATGATTTCATAACTGGCTCTCCACTTTGAAAATCATTTCATCGCTATTGCCCATAACATGTACAGTACGTTCATTAAAGTACCCCCTGGAAATGATTAACTTAGCAAACTGTGCATCTGTTGCTGCGTCTGTAATGTATCCTCCTTTGCAGAAATCTTTCATCATATTTACATGTATTGATTGCATTAAAATATGCAGCAGTGACTTTTTGTACCCTGCATTTGCAATCAAAGGGAATTGTTTGTTTTTGTATGACAATGTGTCCCACTCCACATTGCGCTCACTGACCTGCAGTACAACAATGTTACGTGGACAGATGGATGGACTTTATACACGATGTACAAAATTTGTAAAGCAGTATGCCTTGCCAACGCTGTCACACCTGTTAGTAATTTAATGCCTACCCAAGTACATGTACATGTATCTACCCATTTCCAGCATTATTGCTGAAACCTTGTTCAAAAATACTTCAGAATAAACACTATGCTTGCAATATACATGTGAAGGAGGATTCCTACATACATGTACATGTACACATCTTTATTTAACTAGGACTGCAAAATGCTGCTGACCTGACTCTGTAATATTTTGATGGCTCTGTATTTACTATCAAGCTGCTTTCTTGCTGCTTCCAATTCATTCTGCAACACAGCAACTTCCTGTTGGCAAACATCAACCTTAAAAGATTAATTTCAAATCTAATTTTTGAATGCACCATGCATGTACACGATGCATGTGTCTGTAGATCATTTCTAAGAAGTAAGAATACCTGGGTAGCTGCTTCAAGCTGAGTAAAATCCTTCTGACTCCATGTGCCATCACCTCCATCCAGCAATCCAGAATCTAAAAACAAATATATGCTTAGTTTATATTCATAATTGGCACAAGTATACTCATCTGTCCCTCCTAGTATACAGTGGGGATAAATGTAGCTGGCTTTAGCAATATGTTGTCATGCCTGGCTGCTTGTGCTAATGTTGTGTCTGTATCGGTACATCTGTGTATAAGTACATGTATCTACCACTCTCTGCAGGAGCTACTTTAGACATACATGTATGTACATATAAACATGTTAATGCTATTGATCTTCCCCATTCAATTCACATTGCGTACATGTAGAGAATCATCCCTCTTTGAGGATTTATTAAAAGGGGAAATAGCACCCTCTTCCTCGCCTCTGAACCCAGTTCCGTTAAATATATCCCATATCCACATATCCACTCCCCAGGAGATATTGTATGCTGGACTTAATTATTCAATTCATGTGCTGTATCAACCTTTCCTTTCTTTCAAGGAAAAAAATTGTGTCCTCTACTGACCGAGCTGCCCCATTATTCTGGCTCCAGTATCCAATGCATGGAACTTTTCAACATTCTCGGTACATGTGCATATACATGTGCTTTACAGTGTATTTGACTGCGTAGCCATTCATTTCTACAGAATATTAGGGCCTACATTTTTGAGTTACTGGCTTAATATTCTTTAATGACTCCAAGAATTAAACACAAGTTCACATCTTGATGACAACTTGAAGATACAAAATCTACCCTAAGTAGTAAAATGAAATAATTTGATCACTGTCCATCTCTGACTGTGGTTCCCCTGTGAGTACATGTAATGCTTCAGTCGCTATCGGCCAAAATGCAATGAATCTTACCACCACCATCCAGGAGGTGCTTAAGAGTAGTGCTTCTCAGAAGAAATGCTCTTAAACCTTCAAAGAAGCCAGACCTCCTCTTGGTGGGTCTCAAATGATGGTTACCATAGGAACACTCGTTGTTTTGTGTCTGCATGTCTTGTCTAGCTTGCGGTGCAGAATGGCGTCTTCTTAAGTCATGGTTGATTTCTTTCACGTCTCTTCCAGATAAAGACAGAAACCGGCGGAATGACTGTTGCTCGCTCATGTCTTCAAAGTTAATACCATCACATCCAATCATATCAACTGGTTCCCTTGATTCAACCAAGGACATGACCGATACGGCTCCGGGTTTTAAGCCATGTCCAAACCCCAAGTCTCCTTCTACGGTGAAGCCTTGACTGACTTCTGATCCTGACCCGTCTAAATCCATCTGCAGCCTAATCGTTTCTTGGTTGTCAACGTCATGATAGGCCTAAGCCTACATCAGTTTTGTGTAGAAGTGGGCCTGCATTTTATACTTTTTTACAACGCAAATGTAACAGGCAGTCTGTTTTCCTCCCCCCATGTTAAATCATGCACATGATGCAGTGTCAGTGGTTGAGACATGCATGTCATCCGAGCTGCGCTAGCCGTGGTCGCAGGCCTGCAAGTGACGGCAACATTGCAACATAGGTTGGACTAGCTGCCTTCTTTTCGAGTGTTTTTGTAAAATAAAATACTCGGGGTTATTTTAATCTCAGTATCAATCATAACACACTGTCCAGAAAAACGGTGGGCTTCTTGTAGGCCTCTGTCGCTGAGGAAGGGCATTGAACAGGCCACGTTGAAAAACTCCGCGCGCTATAGCCCGCACACGCACGCCGGGCCTACATAGTGAGCACCCGACTAAAATACTCATAAAATTATGGTACACGTGAACGGTTTCCGTCACGTGCCCTACGTACACTTGATCGATGCACAATCGTTCATGAGCCGGGCCTACGGTGTATGTTCACCCGTACAAGACGGTTAATTATGCTTGGTTGAGAAAAAATAACAGGCTTTATACACATCATGTCAAGTCCTAGTGCATTTTTGCGAAGTGTTTTACAGAATGGAATTGGACGCTATGTTTGTCAATTGCAGAGACTGACCCTGCAGTTCAGTAAGACGGCTGGGAGTGCCAAAGGAGTCAGGTACAGTACGTGTACAGGTTTCCCCGTGTACACAGTCATGGCATGCGCCACAGTACATGTACATGACACAATTTACAAATCCATCCTTCCACCATGTCCACTTCCGTGCCCTATCCCTAGTTTGTGCTTTTTCATGATTGATAGTGTAACGTCGTTAGAGTTCAAAATACTTGATGGGGCAGTGGAGTGTTTAGTTACACTATCCATAGTAGAGTGATGTGGATTAACATGCACACAGGATTATGGTTGCTCTAACAATTTTTGTCTAATGTTTGAAGTAAAGGTTACAACATCATCCTACATGTAAATGTATTTTGTGTTTTTCATTTCAGGGATTTTGTTGAACAAGATATTGTTCCATTTGCAGAAAAGAATCCACAAGTAGTCTTATATGTCACACCTCACTCGAAGTACACTTATCCAAAAGTTGTTGCTGAGTTCTGTAAGTACATGTACATGTAATTACAGTAATTGCATTTTGTAACTTGTACCGTTAATTGATTCTGTTTCTAGAAATGCATCTGTCCTGTCCTAGATGTCATGTGTACATGTACATAGTTCCAGGCACATGCACCTTGACTCTAAATCACCATCCACATTACCTGTCTTGCGTCCTAAGTTCTATGGCACTTCCATTGGAAGTCTTTACACTCTGTTTGATGAGAAATTCATCTTTAATCCCAACAGTCCTCAATCCTCCAATTTCAATTTGATACCTAGGGGGTTGGGGTTAATCAGCTCACTTACATGTATTTACTTGTTTAGTTGACTTACTTTCATTTGATTGATGATTCACTTTATTAATTGATTTATTTCATTTATTTGCTTGTTATTCAGTGCTGGGAACTGATCTTTGAGAAAGAGTGTGATATACATGTATTGACCTCACTGTATTGTTCATGTTGCATTGCTTTTCAGTACTGTATTCAGCAGTTTTTAGAAGTTCCAATGTTTGGGTTTTTTATGTTGCAGTGAATGGCACTAAGAGAAAAGTGGACTTGAACAACCTCTCAAGAGAAGACATCATAAAGGAAATTGAGCTTCTACGAACGCAATCAGGACTGGATATTGTGCGAATCCGTAAACAGTGGCATACGGACAATCCCAGTATACAAGGATACTGGCATCCATTCTATAATAAGCCAACAGAGTTGAATATAGAAACCTTCCCGAGTCAGAATCCAACACTGAGTGAACCCAGGACACCACGGTTACCCAAGCTGACAGAGAAACTCATTGACGAATTGAAAGAAATAAAGGACAGTGGAAAATACAGGGATAAATGAGGGATGGAAGTCATATTTTCAAATTTCTTAATGCTCATGTTCATGAATAGAAGTGATCATGAATGCCATTTTGTTGCTTTTAGGGAATATGTGACAGTGGTCTGCCACAATATGAAACAATTGAAACTTTGAATTGTTGTAAATTTGTCTTTAAATTTTTGTGGCACATTTCATTGTCGGTAATTTTAGTTATTCAAGGGGTCATGAAGCTTCAAACTTCGTTTACTTTGTCTATTTCTGTGTATTTGCTACCTTTCATGTACAGTGTGTACACTTTATTTTACCAACAGAGTGGTATTTTATATTGCCTTTATTCCATGGTTATTAGATTCTCCCAAGCAGAAATTTGCATGTACTTTAAATGTTAAAGTGCATTTGTACAAGTACTTATACTGATAAAAAGTTACATGACCTGTCTTCTGACACGATTACATGAATTTATTGCATAAGTGAGCAACTACACTTTGCATGCAACATTTTCAGCATACTGAGTTGTACTTAGAATTACAACATCCCTTGAGCCTTTCCAATTTGCATCATCAATTAAAACAGCAGCTGTTTTTTGCGTTAAAACATTTTAACCACAAAAGTGTTGTAGGATTTTAAGGATATGTTAATGCCATAAGAAGGAATTGAATTCAGCAACTTAGTTAAAGGTATGTATCCGGAGGGAAAAGTACATATACTTCCTAAATCCTCAAAAGTCCCCCAGCAAAAGTGGAGAATTTTGAAAGATTGAGGCTGTAGGCAGGTACAGATGGAGTAAAAATGTGTGGTTACTTTGAAGGATCATCATTTCAAGGTCTTCAGCTGGACTAGGTTATGCATGAATACATTCTTTAATTCAAACCTACAATAGGATATTCTTTGCAAACACCTTGATGTACTGACAGAAATTGCTGGAAGATTCCAAAGGATTTGAAGCAGCAGTCATCAACACGGGAACGTGCTAGAAACAATGAAAGTTTGAGGCTGTACCCAATTTATAAAAGGAGACGGTTGCAAAATCTTTCATGACAGAGACTGCATCCAAGCAAACGGCCTACTTAGGAGCTGGGGTTAAATAACTTGAAATGAAAAAGTCCCTGTGAAGTCAGCACTTATTTAAAAAACAGACTTGCATAATAAGGGTGAAACAAAAACAGGATACGGTGGAACATTTATAACAAGGTCCTTGGAACTTGAATTGCCTTGTAATAACAGGTACCTTGTATTACATGTATCAATTTGTCTAAGACTTGAACAGTGACTAATTTGAGTACAGTACATGTAATTGCAACCAGAAAAAAAATTCAAAAGTACAATAAACCAGGCCACATACTGTAACAAAAAGTGGTTTCATAATTAGAACTTAACTGTTTTATCAATATTTGACGTGACAGGTGATATTTTCACTGGTATAATAAATTGATGGATATACTGGAAAATTTCAGTCTTATCTCTTCAACTCTTCTGGGTTTCTTTCCAAGCTAACTTTTAACTTCATAGTAGTTGGATTTTCTTTTCCTTGGTATGTGTTCCACTCGTCTACGGTGTTTCCTCTTCAGACATACGTCTGAATCTTCAGGGTTTGAGAGCAGATTTGACAATATCTTGTCAGTGAGACAGCCATTTATGTCACATATCTCTGATGTGGAAGCAGTTGTCTGAGAGATCAGTTCCCCTAAGTCCTCCTGAATATAGTCTGAATTAGAGTCTTTGAGAACCTGAAAATACAAGAGCGTAAACAAGACAAATTAAGATCAGTTGTTCTTCCTCCAAGCAGTTATCAGATACTATATAAATGTACATGTATTACGGGTGTAATGAAACCGCTGGCTCATAATATGATACACATGGCTTGCAATACAATATGTATATGTAATGTGTATTACCATGCACAAGATTTCTGCATGTAGAGTATGGCTTATGGGAAAAATTTAAACCATATCACATTTTTACTTTTTTGATATGAGTGCCATGTACAACTGCAACATAGAAATTGACATCTGACAGTTTCACATGTTAATAGTAAACTTCACTGTCCAACTTTATCTCTAATTCAGGCGTATTAGCCCTATTAGCACTGCGATTACATAGTTTTGTATCATTATGCTCAGATTTTGTATTATGGCATTTTAGTATCATGATTACTGAGGCATTGGGGAATCTTTACCTGCATCAAATAATTTTCATGGTTAAACTCAGGCATGCCCAATTGGCAGAAATCTTTCCTTTCAGTATCCTGGGATATACATGTACTTCTTACATACCATCAACTGTAAACAGTCCATAGAAGTCCCCTTACTGAGCGCCAACTCAAATGATGCGTGGATCACAGGAAAAAAAACTGATACAGTAATGGTGCTTACCACATTTTTTTGCTTATTTCTTCTTGTGTCAATAGGAGGGTTAAAGGTCATCTGGTCTGGGTTAAACTCCTTCCAGATCTTCTGTGCAGACCTTTAGAACAAATTATATGAACTTATAAGTGTTAACCATTTGACTCTATTGTCTCAACATTTGGCCAAAATAGCCTATTCTTCCTAACTAAAAGAAACCAGACACAAAAAAGATCAGCTACATGTATAAAAGTGTGTATACTTGTTTCAGACAAGCAGTTGTTAAGCCTAACCCTCCTCATCCCAAATCTTTCGGGTGGTTTTGGAGGATTTTGGAGGATTGAGGGTGAATGGCAAACGTTCATGGCTTATTGCGAAGTATGCCATGCATGAAGGTTGTGGGTTAGACCTTGTGTTGTTTTGCATAGTCACGCATAAATTCAGCCCGACATTTCTTTTGAATTAACGGCACTGCTCAAGAATGTCATTCGCACTGCCTCAACATAATGACAGGAATTGCCGGAGGCTTTTGAAGGATTGAGGTACACCTCCAAGTAACATTTTCAACAAATTTTGGAGGATTGAAGGAGAATCCAAGTTTTTCACCCCCCAAATTGGAGGATTCTGGAGGATTTAGGAGGGTCCCTAGCAAAAAAAGGGCCAAGGGGGTTAGGGTTTAAAGAGCTAGAGAGCTATTTCACTGTGCTGGTTTACTTCATTTACTAAAATATATCACAAAGTAAACATCTACTGATAAGAAAATGAAGAAGCCAATCTTACAATCTGGATACATCAACAGGAATCGTACCAGCCCCCATTAATGGGCTGCCCTTAGATAGATGATCAGAATACGCCTTGACTGTAGGATGATAATGTCTCTGAAATGGAGTATACACAGATTTGGCTTTCACAGAGGGATTTCAAATTTCAATTCATGTCAATTCAAGGACACAATACATTTTCATAATCTTTGCCTGCCAATCATTTACATTCAAACAATCTCCACAGATAATTTATTATCAAACAGTAATTATTACTGAAAGTTTGGCAAGAGATCATATCTATCTCAATGCTTTAGAGTATTACAGAAGCCACAACTACACATAAATAACAACTACAGAGCAATGATAGCAAGTACATAAACACGGACCTTAAGTAGATGAAGTTCCCACAATGCAGTGCTCTGAGCATTACAGTGCTCTGCTTCAGGTAACTCTGGTAGGAATGTACCACTCCCAAAACTTTCACTATCTAGGAGCAAGTCACTCTTAGGATACCACTGCAAAGACGAGGTACAAAATAGGCAGTTTCTGATAGAATTACAGTCAATGGACAAGTGAGATTGTTACTGAAATCTGCAGATTGACATAAAGACTATTTAGAAATACTGCAGGTATAATACTAATTTTTTTAATTTTAATACTAATCTGTTGTAGATGTTCATTTCTTTAACTGTCAAATCAAGTTTACCTTCATAATATCTCTTACAGCACAGCCATATCCTAGAATTCCATTGGGCATCATCTGAAGCGAGAGCGTAGCAAGTCGTTTCAAGAAGGCTAAGACTCTTTGAAAGGTGACTTGTTTGTGTCTCTTGATGATCATTGCATCAATGCAATCCAGAATCAATTTGGCATCAGCACAGCTTTCACCTAAGATTTACCCAACAAATGACTTAAAGCATATGTTCCATTTGATCCTATGGACTAACAAATCTGAGCTGAGGTGTTATCTACCACATTTGCTTATGTTCACACTGCTATTCACAGCAACAGCCACAAGTGTGAAGTCATTTACATGTACATGCAGTACAAAACCTGCTCTATCTTATCAATTAAGTCAAGAATTATTATAGACAAGCTAAACCTGTTCCACATTCTGGTGTGAAAACACTGGTTCTTTTACATGAATGGGCATTAATCACAAACTCATAAAATGTACGTGCCCTTGACTTGCTAACCAAACCAGAACCCTCATTTGTTCAGAGAGCTAGATAGCATCTTTTGATTCTAAATCAGCAAATACTAGACCAAAGTTAAGCACATCTTTTTGTTCAACTCATGTTTGCTGGGCCTCACCCCCATGAAATTGCATTTACCTGCATGCACTTGTGGCATTGTGACATACAGCAATGTGTAGAACTTTGTTGGGTCAATGTTGAGAACATCCCCTTGACCAGACAAAATTAGAAAAGCTGTCAAAACACAATGCAGACTGTCTCGATACGTCAAATCCTGTAAAAAAAATGAAGAACAAAGCATCCTACTTGGTATAATTCAACTTAATCCAATAAACTGAGTCAAAAATTGTGTAACTCAATGACATCAACCAAAAAAAATAATTAAAACAATAATTAAAAGCCAAGATTTCTTCAGCAAAATAAGTACATGTACAAGTATGTTTTGGTGTGAACAATGTTGCCGACAATGCACAAGTGTAATTTGTGCACAGGTCTGCTTTTAAACCAAAATGTACTCCATTCAATAATCAAACCACTAATTATGCACTGAGCCGTGTGCACAATATAGTGAAGGCTAAGACATCATTGAACAAAAAGTGATCTAAGTTAACTCACACAAAATGACCCACACATCCTCCAGCACTGCATATATGCAAAGATGATCAATATCACTAAGAGTATTTTAGTACCAGTTAAATACCACACCATGCCTACTTTATTCACAAATGTTTGTGCTGTCCGATGGTGTATCCAACATCAAAGAGTCGTCATTCTCAATAACTATTACTGTCTCATCTAAGCTATTTACACATTTACCCATTCTTGTCTCTATTCACGTTTCGATATAAGAGGTTGTTTCACTACAGAGCATTAAAGGAACCGTTCTTGATTAAGGTGTGTCAATAGAGAAATGCTCAAAGCAGAAACTCAATCTCACAAAAGTTAATTTGAGAGTTGTTATCCACTTACCCCTGAGTCTATCAGTGTGTACAAGACTTTCACCAAATCATCAAAGAAATCAATATTGATAAGATGAGCAAATTTTGACAGTCCTTCCAGGACTGATGACAGCAGAACAGAGTTGCTGGCCTTCTTCAGGATACGGAAGTAGGTTGCAAATACAGACTGGATGATTTCTGTGTGCTGATCAAAGACATAAATTATTCAAGACACTATTCAAATACATGTAATCAAATATGGAGCAGATACATCTCATTCAGTCAAACAGATACGGGGTGTTTGTTGTCAGGCTGAAGTGACAGAACTTGTCCGCTAACTTCAAAAAAACCAATTAAAAATTATCATGGACTTTGAGTGGTCTTTGATGACTCTTTGTGTGGCTGCTTTCAGACCAATTTATAATATGAAGGGAAATTTAACCACATTTGCACTTTAGCAAAAAACATTTGCACAGGTACCACATACCAATCATGTACGTTACTTACCAGCTTTTTCCTTTTATTTTTGTTTTCGGATGCCTCAGTTGCCTGTAGCTCCTTCTCAACCTCCACAAGACGTTTTTGATGCTGAGGTAGTAAATAAGTGCATTCAATGATCAGAACTGCATCATACTTTACAAATACAAGACTATCTTCATCCCACATCATGATTACTTCTTACCAAATCACGACTTAAAATATTTTATGACATCTTCCCCTATTATTGACCAACCTTCCGTTGTGATCGGGACATCTTTTTCAGTTTCTCTCTCTTTTCAATCAGTTTCTTCTTCTTCTCTTCTTCTTCAGGTAAAGCAACATCTTTGATCTTGAGTGACAGGAACGTGTTCATAATCTAACACAAAAAAGATGTTATACACAATTACAATTCATAAAAGGAATTTAATGATACTGAAAATCATTATGAAAAAAGATGACAAGTACCATTGAAATATTTCTTTTAGCAAAACCAATGAATCCAGAAAAAGTCAAGCCCATGCTAGTTAGGGGACATACTTTTGGAGATACACTGTAGTTGTGACTGCGAACCAGTCGACTGATAAAGCGAACTGCATCAAGCACAGCTTCTCCAAGGTGATCAGTCTTAAACAACTGACGAATATTTAGACAACATGTGTTGCATATCTGTCGAGTCAAAAATAATTCGAACTGGTATCAGCATGACTCCAGAATACAATTAAAATTAAACTGAACAAAAAGAGATCAGCAGTGCAGATGATGAGTTACAACTTACACCTCAAGTTAAATGGATGTAGCATATGAAGGTTAATTCATGTTTTCTAAATGGTGATATTGATTAAAACTTTGCATTGTACTATCCCACAAGATGGTAAACCAAATGTCATATTAGCAACTGTCATTCGTTGTAATGTGACCAAAATGTAATCAAGACTCAAGACTTAAAACTTACCTCTTCATTCTCACTTGTCAATAATGAAACAACAACATTAATGATGTTAGTGCGATAGTTGAAATGATGCAAGCTTGTCATGAGGGTACATAAACATCGTACTGCAACTTCTGAAAGACTCCGTTTAGCACCATCGGGAAGGTCAAAGGTCAACTTGCCCTCTTGCTCTTTTCTGATTTGCTTCTTTGACTTTTTATGGCCTGTTTTAAAACAAAAAGACAGTTGTAATGCAAATGAACAATGTTTTACATAAAGCAGTCACCAGTGGTACAGCTTTACTCTAGTACTGATCAGGTGATTGCAAAGTAAGGTCAACTCCAAGAAATTTACAGGAATGATTCCCTTTGAGACGGCAGCATTTAAATGTCAAATCATATGAAGAAAAACGATATCAAGACACAACTACAAATTATACCAAAAAATCTTGTTAATACAGTTTATACATGTACCCTACCTCTGGAAAGTTTTTCCAAGAATGACAGGTAGGCTTTGTACTGTTTCAGTAGCCCTTCCTCAAAATCACGCTTCTTCTTTACTTCTTTACTCAGCTGTAGGAATACAGTGTATTACGTGCAACAATACACAATGTTAGGTACCGGATATTGAGTTTTGCAGGAAGGCTGCTGTTTGGATACAAGCACTTCATTACATTACACCAATGGCTAAAACAATAAGCTCAATAAATTATCAACATGATTTACATTCCAATAACACAAACAGCACATCCAACCACCTGCTGAATGAATGTGAACAAATCTACTGAATTCATTCAAGGCAAGACACTGTGGCAATACTAGCACATGGTGCCCTCACTTAGCAATCTACACCCCCATTCACCTCAACAGCGGCAATACTAGCACATGGTTCCCTCACTTAGCAATCTACATGTCCATTCACCTCAACAGCGGCAATACTAGCACATGGTTCCCTAACTTAGCAATCTACACACCCATTTACCTCAACAGCTTTTGCCTTCTCTCCCCATTCTCGTATGCGATAACCAGGAACAATGTCTTTGAAGACTTCAACAAGTGACACCATAACGAGCTTCTGGACGGTCACAATGACATCCCGTTCTTTCTCCTCAAGCATCAACCGTAGATCCTTCAATTTATTTACCTGTTGGGGACAAAACGGTCATCACACAAAGGACTTAAGACCTACAGCACTCACATCAAGACTTCCATGATTCCGTCAAAAACATACAAATGAAATGTACACGTACGTGTACATCCAATAATGTTGGTAGAATCTCATATTTCTACCTTCCAATTCATTGGATTGAAAGTTAGAAATGATTCTTACACCTCACTAACAGTTCCTTTTCGTAATGAAAGACTAACATTTTGTTCTGGATCTGTCAGTACAGCATGGGACAAGCTAGCAATCCTTTGTTTTCTTTGTGCTAACTTCCTCTCTCGTAACGTGAATAGTTCCACTGTGCTCAGAGCTGGCAAAACTGGCTTCTCTTCTACAACATCTGCTGGAAATAATTACAGGAAAATGAGACAAAATGTAACTCTTTTTTAGAAGTATTAATTGACTGGCATTTGGGGAAATCTGTAAGCCCCTAAATTCACCAAGTTGCATGAATGCATGCGGGTACAAGACTCTTTTCGTTTACCTTGAGCCTTCATGTCAATATCTTGGATGATATCATCATCTTCAGTCACTCTTTCTTTGTCTTCTTCATCCTTTGCTTCCTCCCATCTGAACTCAAAACCCTTCGAATGCTTGATGGGTAACAACTGTTTCATTTTTTGAGGTGGATCCCCTCTTGCCAAGGGTAAGGACCTGGGTGTCATTTCATATGGCTTCAGCTCATTGTCAGGATTAACTCTCTTTCTTTTATTACACTTCTGTGAGCTGGGAGGTTCACTGAAATGAATAAATGTATGTTATAAATCCTTATACTGAGACTGTGAATATATGTACATGCATGTATGTTAGAATTTTACTGCATGTTAATACAGGTACATTAATGCAACAATAATGTCTGTTCTGAACTACATGTACATGCAGTTTCAAGCTTGTTTCCTTGGAAATGAATGGATAGCCTTCCATATCCCCACACAAATTAATCTCATATTAGTTATTAAAGGGTTGTACATGTATTACAGCAGAAAGCTGAAATATAATGGTAAAAAGAGTCATCTTGCAAAACGTTAATATTTTGCTTACCTGTCATTAACGCCTGAGAGAAAGTTTTCACCAAATCCCATTGACTGGATGTATTCTAAATCTTCTCCAGTGAAATCCTCTGTTGCGTCTTCTTCCTCTTCATCTTCTTCCAATTCTTCATCCTTTATAACCTTTGACATGTCGGTCTCCTCTTGTTTTGATCTGTGTACATGCCTTTGGGGTTTCTTTTCCTTGATGACTCCAGCCTTCACACCTGCTGCATGGCTAGCTCTATTCCAAAATCCTTTTGGTGGCTTCTTCCCTGGACCACTCTTAATGCTTTTACCCAGGATTTTGGAACGCTTTGTCAATGATGACTTACTGGAGTGTCTGTTTGACAGCTTTGTGACACTGACTTTCATCTTGTGTACATTTTGGCCTGTATTTCCTCTTTTCTAAAAAACAAAATTCAACACAAGATACACAATACGTAGTTCAATCATGCAAATATTTCACTGGGTTTATTTATCATGTCATTACTGAATGGTGAAAGAAGTTGTCTTGTGTACAACGCAGAGGCCAATCCAAGGATATTTCCAGGGGAGGGGTTAGGCCGGAGATTTTGTTTTAATGTCTCATTTTTGTGGACAATAGGAAATGATGATGAAACATTACATAGCATATGTTGTTTATAATGGTATTGCTGCACTTACTTTAGTGATTTTTTGGGGGGTTATTTTCCCATTTTTGGTACTTTTTGTCTCAAAGTCGGGGGGGAGGTTGATCCCCCTCCAATCCACACCTGCAATGTACTGGAAAACCTCCAGCTTAGTATACACCTTTAAATACTCAAAGGAGTCTCATACTTCTAGAAACCAGAGACCACCTCTTTGTCTTTTAGCACTATCATTTTGGAAAAGATTTAAACTATGAGGTTTGAGAACCACATTTTAACTTGTTGGAAAGATGACACACTTGCAACAAAAACAAAACAAAAATCTCCTATTGCCTGTACTCCCGGCTGACTCAAGTAGGTTGACACCTTTTGTGCATTCATTATAACTAACGGATAAATAAAATTAACAAAGAACAGCCTCCAAGGCACCAGCAATTCATAACCTCCACAGTTTTTAGACATTCAATCAGGCTGATAGTTTTTGAGAAAAATCTCAGCTTTCAATTACCTGACATTTTCAACACAATATCACATGTACTTGAGTATGGCTCGTGGCGCAGTACATTGTACATTATAGCCAGCCATGGAAGAAGGAAGACCGGTACAGCCTACACTATATCTGGTGCACCAGGACACCAATGCATGCTACAAGTAATATTAAGCCCTTTTTAACATATGGACATTGTCTACTATCGCCACACTATGTCCAAATGCCAGTAACACTGTTACGCCCCAACTACAACATCAGTCCCAACTACATTTCTTAACTATGGTGCTTATTATAGTTGGGCCAGCCCAACTATACTATAGTGCAGTGCAGTGAGCTAAAGTCAGTTTGTTTTCATTAGCAACTCGTCCATGCAGAAGCAAGTTTTTATAGGTCTAGGTCTGAAAAAAAAGTTGGCCTAGGCCTTTGATTTTAGATGAATTATGTCATGTGTTAGCTTTCTACCTCCATGGCCAGATGGTTAGCTGCATAAACATATTGATTAACTCAAAGAAGATTGTGAAATTTTCTAGAGAGATCAGCCAATAGTTGGGGCTTGGGCGAGCCCAACTGCGGCACTAGTAATTGGGACTAGTTGGAACGGACGCAGTAATCATCACAGCTGGGGCATATTAAACGACAGTCACGTCGCCCGTATGCCATAGCCTAGTCAGCTAGTGTACAGTACATAGCCCTGCAACTTACAAGGCTGTACAAGGATGTACATGTGTACATCATGTACTACTAAATTGCACTACTGGCCTGCTACTGGTAAGCCAACTAGGCCCAATAGGTTTCGAGTCAACTCGGACCCAAACCAACTCGGACCCATACCAACTCAGACCCATGCCAACTCCGAACAATGCCAACTCGGCCCCAGTACTAACCCGGACCCACGACCAACTCGGACCCACAACCAACTCGGACACAATACTAACTCGGACCCACAACCAACTCGGACCCACCCTAAGTCAACTCGGACCCAACCCCAGGAGGGTGATTAACTTGTTGAAAATGTTTATTTTGTCCACTTTTACATTTTAGCATTTGGTAAATGACACTTTTGCACTGCATGCTGCCTAGATTTAACGTCCTCTCTACACATTATGCATGGAAACAGTGGCACAGGCTTCCCAGAATTTTTCTGTTTTCGAGTTTGAACAGGCATGGTGGTTAAAAACCGTACAGGACTAGATTCGATATCAGTGATGTCTTGGAACAAGTGATAAGTAACCGACGAGCGTCATATTTTTATGGAGGCACATTTCCTTTGATGTCCTATCTGCCGCTTGTAATCTGGAATCTGAATCAGGTATTAGCTTCCGAGGTACCGGCGTGATTAACCACAAACACTAATTTTGTCACCTTCCATTCTTGAAACCCTATGATCGGGGAGTGGGAGCTTGGGACAACCAATGGGAGCAGCTTTTGGAGTGTGATTGACAGTACCATGTCATTGACGCCCTTTCTCCGAAGTTTTTTTGGCACTCCAGCAGAAATCGAATGAACTTTCACCAAACAGCCCCCAAAGTTTTTGTTGCAATAAAAAGCCACAGATAGGCCTTCTGATGTACATAAGATATGCTGCATACGTACAACAGATACTGCAGATAAATATCAATGTCACGAACATTGACCTTTAATAGTGTCTAATGGTGTTATCCCCCACCTCACTTTTCAATTTTTTTTGGCCTGGCAAGTCTTACATCTCCACCTTGCCCCATTTCCCCCCCCTCCCAATACCGGCAAAATTTAGGCAGATGGAGGAATTCATCCATTCAGGCCTAAACTGACTCTTGAAATAACTCAAATAGGTTGGTAATTTCGAACAACACAAATCAAATCATTTTAAAATAAAAATGTGGAATATTTCCTATTGGCTTAAACTTAGAGACGGTTTTGAAGCGTCGTATGTCTGCTCGCGAGCTCATTATTAATATTTTGCGATCCCACGGTTTCTTATTTTCTGCAATAAGACGTGCCATAATCACGAGGGATCATAGAATCATTTATATAAATCTCGAATTTAGTTTCCGGTTCAGAGTATTTCTTTCACAAAAAGCCCCACAATGCGGACCTATTTTGGATAGATGCAGATGGCTACATTCATATGAGCGCATAGTTTTACAACTATAAGGGGGGTATCTTCGGGAAAAGGCGAATAAAAAAGTTCATAAAATTGAAACGAAAAGTGATCAATCTGGCCATAATCTTGAATTTCCAGCCAAACAAATGAAGGCCAACCTCTTTGCGAGGTTCAAGAGTCGGCGCTATTTCGGTCTACGGGCGCGTATTTGGTGTAATGCAACCATAAGACTGAATGGGTCCGAATTGACTCGAGGTGGGTCCGAAATGGCGTGCGTCTGAGTTGGTTGTGGGTCCGAGATGGTGGTGGGTCCGAGTTAGTATTGGGTCCGAGTTAGCGTGGGTCCGAGTTGGTCCTGGGTCCGAGTTGGCATGGGTCCGAGTTGGAATGGGTCCGAGTTGGTTTGGGTCCGAGTTGACCTGATCCCGCCCAGTAGTACTTTAGGCAGGCCGACCGACCGACCGCACCGACAGGATAACCTGTGGGTCAGCTCAGGTGGTGCTGTATTTGGCCTTTTCACTACATTTGCATGGGCGTCTTCATGTGAGACAAAAGCAAGGGTAGGCCACAGGTAAGTAATCAGAAGATTTACATCTTTATAAAGAGGAAGAAAAGGAAACGGTGGTGTTACCGTACAAAAATTTGACAAATTATCACACGTGCTCAGCACTGACCTTCGCCATTTCTCTCGCAGTCTCGAGCGCTACATATGGTTTTGTTATGGCGCCCTCTACAGACTTAGACGAAATTTATGTCTGGATATCTGGATGAAAAGTGACCGTGAAGCTCAACAAGAGCATCAGTCAGAACGATACTGGTTTGGGGTTGCTCTTTCCAACTACAGATAACTTTGCAACGCAAATGAAAATAAAACGTTTTGATGTCTTGGAAGTTAGTGCCACCATTTTCAGGAAAAGTGACAGCTGTAAGACAGAGTTACAGCGTCGCTGGTTGTGCCGATGACAAAATTAAATTAAGTTTACATACAGTACATCATTTTAATTTTTTTTAAAACTACATGTGGTAAAAGATGTGCACTGTGGATATCTTGGCCACGTACTAATATTAATGGGACCACGAAAATATCAATTTTGCCCAGTAGTTTTGTGTATTAGGTCCCCAAAAATTAGTCAATCGAAGTAAAACTACTGTCTCGTATTTTCTATTCAGAAAGAAGTGTAAACAAACCAATGTCTCCTTAGGCGGATCCAGAAATTTTTCAATGGGGGGGGGTTGCCGATTGTTGCGGACCGGCAATAAATTACATTTTCACTGATTGTTATTTTTATTTTGGGGTGGAATGGGGTCACAGCAAGAGAGATGACCCCCAACAACCCCCTGGTTTCGCCCCTGCGGTTTCATCAAGGTTGAGCTGCGTATCCACAAAAGCCTGCTTTACATGCATGCATGCAGAGAACGCCGCTTACATGTAAATGTGCACTGTAATTTTCAAAAGTAGATGGGCACCATAAATAACTTTTTCTAGAAAGTTGTATTCGTGGACAATGTGTTTACGGCTTTGCAATGAAAGTTAACTATTTTCAAGCGATGAAATCTAATACATTCTTTCCTCAGTCTTTTCAATTTTCTCTTGGGCAAAAGTTTTTGTGTACTTCCATGGCTGCGACTAAAAGTCCCAACTTTAACTGAAAAGAAGAGGGTTCCTTTGTATATACGTCATAAGCATTGCCAAAAGAATTTGTTATTGTAAATATAAGAATAGCTACAACATCGTTGTGGGGGAAAGGGAGCGCCTGCCCGCCCCTTAAAAAAAGGAGGGGCATTAAAAAGAAAATGGGAAAGAAAAGAAAAAAGCGGGAAAATGGACAGAAAGATTTCTTTCCACGAAAATGCCTGGAACTGACCCCAGTCCACTGCTAGTATGGTTTGTCAGTCTTTTCCATCCTTACGACACACCTTTCTCGGTTCACTCCACGTACGGAATGCCCGGTCTGAAGTTCCGCAGGCAGGCGACGCCCTTGATGTCGACGTACTGCCGAGTACGGATGGGTAAGCCCCTGATGACTTGGCTGCTACGGCTGCAATATCCCGACCAGTAGGCCTTTATGTTGTTACCGGCTGCAGCAGCCAAGTCGGACGTGGTTAAAAGTATAGGCTTTGCACCTTCAACCTAGTCTCCGCCTCGCCGTGACTGTATGCCATAAACAGACGTGAAGTCCAGACTCTTTCTTCAGGAAATAATTTTAAAAAAAGAAAAAAGATTACGCACGTACGTACATTACATGTACATTATCGTAGGCAGTATGCGCGCTGCCACACTTTCTGACGCATAAGTTGTGTGCTGCATGAAGGATGGTTTTCAGTGGAGGAACTGTCTCAACATTCTTACCAAAATCAACATGTTAGACCAATATTTAATGGGATTCCTCTTCGCCAAGTCTAAGTTTAGGACACAGTTATGCTTTCGTGTAATTCTCATGTCCCTAGTGTTGTGTTTTATGGTTGAATTTTGTTGGTCCAGTTGTTCTGTTGACGATTGCTACCGTGGAGTGTGTAGCGTCGACAGTCACGACGGTGTGTGTGAATGCGATGACGGATGGACGGGCGACCGATGTGATCATTGCGGTGGGAGAACACGGTAGGATGACGAGACAAAATCACAGACATGACTCATAAATATCTCAAGTTTTTACAAAAGGAAAGAAAACTATAAAGACATAAAAGGGGCATAAGAGGGTGTCATCATGGTGACAATGTCTTCATTTCAAAATATTTTCAGTTCAGTCGTGTCAGTTGCCAGTGGCAGTTAATTGGATCCTTATGTCATGATTAAACCATTTCCATTTGTACTGGTGCATGCATGTAAATGTACAGTACATGAAGGCCTAGGTCTCACGTTACGGCCTAGCCAGGACTTGATACTAGTGCTGATTCGTCATTTTATGCTTAAGATTTTGTCCAGAGCTTAAAATTTTGAATTTATGTGAATGTTTGTAGATTTAAAATAAAGGAAACAAATTCAGGTGAAACTCTGGGCGCGGATAGATGTATACTACACAACACGTTTTATCATTGATAGAAAGACACATTAGCAGCCTCACTCTTAGAAAAATTCATCTACAGTGAATTTATGCACACATTTGCATTGGGAAAGAATTCCACACAAGGACACCACTAATTTGAAAGCAATAACATGTCCTGAAACTAGCTCTACTAAGTGGAGTGTTAGTATTCCTCTTTTTTGATTTTTGATGGGATTGGTTACACTAACGCTCCACAACTCTACATATACATGTCACACAAAACACTTTTCTCACCACCTAATGTCTTTCTTTAATGCCAAAGGCAAACTTTTGGGGCTTCAGTCATGTCAGTGGTATTTTTGACTTCACCATGTTCACAGTGTGTCAAAATCCAATCGTTTTCGCTGGACACACGCACTTCAACGTTTTGCCACCTGCTCCATTCAAATGTGTGGACAGAGAGGGGCAAACATAATCCTTCCAGAGACACACATGAGTGGCCTACATGTATACATGTACATGGTCTGGGCACAAGACTTGTTGATCGTGAGGGTTGGGAGTGCTACATGTACCAACAACTGTTTCATGGTGGAAAATGCAGGCCCTTACTGGCTGCACATGCGTTGTACACACAGTTGGATTGGGGGGCATTAACTGCGCACTGCATTTGTCCATTAATCATGCATGTATATCCTGAGATTAATGTAAAGATGACTGACATCTTAAAACTGTCTGCAACTGTCCGTACAATGCTCGTGTAGTTAAATTTTTCAGACTAGTCTCATTATTTGTGCATAGGGTATCAAATGGTTATTATATACATGAAGTAAACCAAACTGCTTAGTTCCTGATTCATTGCCTTGATTTTGTGTTCATTGTTTTGATGCATCATTTTAGAACATACACATGCAAATGGCTTTACAAGATTTTTAGTTAAATTTCATACATGCCGATTGCAGGTTTGTGCACAAACATGGTTATGCCCATCAGACTTCACTTTGCACAGCAAGTTAGTAGTACTTTAGTTCACTGTTGCTACATCAAAATAAAAGCGAACATGAAAAATGACAAAAGAATTGCAGATTTTGTCAAGAAACGGTCATACATTTTTGTGATGCAATGAAAAATGCTGGGGGAAATCTCCATTTACAATTACATGTACTACTGTCATGACTGTACCTGCAGTGGCATCAGTCATACATGTACAGATGTACATGTAAGCAAGCAACAGAATGGCGTAAAAGTCAAATTTACATGTACATGTACATGTAGATGTGTAATTAAGCATTAATATGAAAATAACATTTTAGGGTACATGTTCACAGGGAAAGTTTTTCCTTAATTAAATTCCTAAATAACTAATTCATGTCTACATGTATATACATGTACATGTATATTTTTTTTATAATTTTTTTTTTAAGATAGGTTTAGCTGATACCGTGTCTGGTATGAATACTTTTCTTTTATTGCACATGTAGGTACAGTAGGGTTAGAGGCGTCTATCCCCGGGAAAGATCGAGACATCACCGATGCCAGCAGGGTTAGGTTCTCCCTGTTGGCAGGGCAGACGTATCCCCATACCAGCGCGGTGGCATTCATTCATTTATCCTTATTCATTTATCCTTATCCTTTCATTTCTTAAATTAACTATTTTTTACTTTAACTTGTACTGTGCCGTTGATCATTTTTATTCCCAGCCAGAAATGAGACCGAAGAAGACAGAACCTGTGTGTGTAGCAGTGCTACAGGTGTACATGCTACACAGAATGTTTAGTCAGGTGAAAGCTATAGGATACAGGCACAGCCGATCGGATGGTCTAAGAACCAGACCTTCAAGTGCACACTAATGCTACACAGTGCAAAACGAAGGTGCAAGAAAAGTAAGGGGCCGCGAGATGCTAGAAAGACTGCAAACTCAGTCATAGAACATTTTTGTCTTGTTTTGTTGGTGTGCATTACGTGTTTCATTTGTACTTTGCTTTTTTTAAGATGGTTCATTAATTAAAAGAAATTATGAATACAGTGTCAATATACGCGTAAATTTACATGTTTGCGTACAGTATGTGAATGGTGTGCCACAGACAAGACTAACGTGCAATGCAGCACAGGTACTGTATACGTGTAAACTAGTCATTTGGATGCAGCTCATGTACACATGTATGGACAGTGTGTACACGTACAGTACAGTATGTTGATTGGAATTTGGAACATGGATTGCAAACATGTACATGTACATACAGCTTGACTTTAAAAATTTATCAGGTATTGGGAAATACTGCAATAGTTTTCTGCATTGTACATATGTACGGTACATGTACAGCACTTCGGTCCATGAAGTGAATGGTTTGTTGTGCATGTACATGTACAAGTGGTTGAAAGTGTATATCTGTTGACATAAAAATTAGACAATGATTAACTTTACTGTTAACCAAGCATGGTACAAGGTTGCACTGTTATGCACCCTCAAGTTTGTGATAATAATCGCATCAACCATACACTGTTGGACTTCTATTGTTGGACCTTGGCCAGTCTACAATGTACTGTTTCTACCATCACCATGATCACTGTGATGTCTGATGTAATGGGCATTAACACAACCAATCACGGATTTGTCTATGGCCTGATAGTACAAAGTGTGTGCTGATTGCATTGACCTGTACATGTAGAATATTCAAATTCATCGAAAAGTCCCTTTTCCAACACTCATGAACACGTGAACAGTATGCTTTTTGGAAACTTGTACGTACATATGTAGCAGTACAAGACTAAAGCCAAAAAAGTCTTCAGTTTCTAGTCAGGAGCTGGCCCCAAACGTGTTGTGGCGACACAGCTTTTTTTGGAAATGATAACGTACATTGTATAATGCGCCATAATCCATATCCATCGTAACTGCACACAAACGTACATGTAACACTGGCTGCTACCAACAAAACAGATTTGCCCCTGTACTTTTTACAGTTAAAAAGCATTTTCAGCTTGCTCATGTACGAAGGACATAAGACCACCTTGTGTGTGTGATTCCCAGATATCCATGTACATGTAAATGTATAATACAGAAATTACCGTACATATGTACATGTACGTCATCTGAAAATGAGTGCCTGACTAAATGTACAATATGGGGAACTAGAGGGACTCCTTTACTGTCAGTATTCATATTACTCAACTGTACCCCATCAAGAACATGTTAAAATTACACAGTAGCAGGGTTCAACTTCCAGTTGAGTAAGCAAGTTTGGCAGCTTTTGGACATTGATTTATTTATAAATACCACATACATGTAAAAAAATTTTTATTTTGCTGGTGTGCAGGTCTATGGTGACTTGCGCAATGACTAGAAACTGACATGTTTTTTGTGGCCTACATACTGGTATAATAAAATGAAATGGATAACATGTCAAAAGCTGTGACGTTTTCGCTTTGACATTAGAACAGTGAAGTTGACTGGCTTAGTACAGTGCACAGTGGTGTAGTATGCAGCATACTGTATGTACATTTTACAAATACTGCCTTGTACATGTATCAACAGATCAATGTCACCATCTCTTGTCACTTCAAGTCATTTTGTTAACTGTGCTGACTACTGGGCACATGTACATGTTGTGGTACATCCACTATTCTGATCCTCAAGAATCACATGTAATAGACACCCACTGAGTCTCACACATGGTTATTAAATACAAACACTTCATCTCCAATTAAAAACTAGGGCTCTTTCCTGTGTACATATACATACATGTACATGTACAAGTATGTATGCATAAAGGTCAAAACGCCATTTCTGCTTGTGATGTACATGTAGAATGTATGTTTACATGTACATGTACCTGTACATGTTGTGTACATTTTACAAGAGTGTGGCCAGAAGCATTCCTCATACAGTACATGCACATGTCATATACGTGTACTATTGTACATGTCTATGTAAGTTGTGTGTGTACAACTTTTTACTCTTAATGTACATGTGCACAGTTTATTGTGTGTACACGTACATGTACATGTAGAGTATGGTATATTTTATGAATGTTACTGGTACATTCTTTATGTCTGTGACCTTAAAGTTTTCTAAACACAAATCTCTATAAAGTCCTAGCTTTTGCTGTATTGTATAACTTATTGTGTTACATGTGGTGTTATACAAGGTACATGTACATTCATAGTACCGGTACATGTAGATTATAACATCCCCAGTCCTGGCTTTTGCTGTATTGTATAACTTATTGTGTTACATGTAGCGTTATACAAGGTGCATTTATAGTACCAGTACATGTAGATTATAACATCCCCATGGGTGGTTGGTTTTGTTGTTTGCCCAGTTTGACATTTGCATTTTATGCGAAAATGCTGTTACATCTACCAGTACCCACATGTACATGTAGTACTCAAATTTCATTTTTGCCGAAAACAGAATAAATAAATTGTTTATTATCTTTTAAAATGGAAGTTATGTACATTTAGGAATTTTTGTATTTTCTTCAGACTTGAAGCTTCAGGAATAACATGAATTGATTTTCATCTGAAGCTCACATACATGTACTGGTATGCAGTTTATAGATATTTTAATCCAGGTTGTTCTAGGCCGAAAAAATTGGTTGGGAAATGTACAGTGTACCGTACATTGTAGGCCCAATACATGTACATGTACATGTTTCTTCAGTTGACATTAGTCAGAGGATGTACATGTACATTGTACAGTGCATAATTTTTTTTTAACTGATTTTTCTGTTTTTGATGGCTGAAGTAGAATTTTTGATTTGTACAGAGAAAAGTAAAGTACATGTAACTACACTGTACATGTACATGTAGCTACATTGTTGTCAATGCCATGACTGGTGTTGTCCTGTAAAATAATGTATATTGTATTGCATAACACGGTTATGCACTACAATTGATAATTTGTGTAGGTCATTTAACATGTTTAGCACGAAACATAACCTTTGTAAACCACTGCGGATACTGGAGTACTGTGTACCCTTTGTCCTTTTAATATAAAGCTTTCTAGCCATTTACATGTATTTGGCTGGCTACCTTCACTGATGGGCAAGGTTTAGCCTGGAACAGGAATTCAATAAGCAGTTTAATGATTTTCTTATGACTCAGAGTGTGCATGGAGCTGACTGGAGTACAAATTGATGGTAATGGTAATAAATAAAACCCCTTCCATGTACATGATGTAAAGTTCATGGGGAAAAAGAATCACTTTATCCTTAGGTCTGCTCATCAAATTAAACTAACGTTCATGTACATGTATGAACTCTGTTATACAGTTGATAAAATATTTAGACCTTGCTCTTTATACTTGTATGTATGTATGTGGAAGCATTGCTTTTGTACAGGGTTGGCACATTGTATAATATTCATGAATGGCCAGTTAATGTCAGATTTTCTTCCGTTCTTACTGAAAAAGCTGATGGATGGGTTTTTACCAGCAAATTCTTCAACCTTGTAATTGGGCTTGGTCCCGCTCAAGCATAATGCATTAATAAGTTAACCATGGAAATGAAAAAAGAAATTCTTAAACAAGTGTACCCGGTACATGTCCTTCTTGGAACAAATAAGAAAAAGTGTGTGTTGACATGTCATACATGTACGGTGTCAAGTGGTTAATTCACGGTTCATGTACATTTTGTTTGCTCATGAAAATAATAAAAAGATGACCCCAAAGTTGCTTAAATTCTTGTAAAGATGACACTGTTTGTACAGTACATGTATAGCAAAAGGTGTAAAATGTTTAACTTAAAATACAGTTCCGGGAGAGCAGAACATGTGTTATTCAGAGTGTCCATGTCTTAAATATAGACTGTGACAAATTCAGTCATCAAAACGTCTTCTGCCTCTGTAGTAATCAAATATATGTACATGTACGTGTACAGTGCATAATTTTAGTAGACTCGTAGTCCGTCATGGTGGTTTTGTCACTTTGTCATTTTACAAATAATGAATTATCTGACACTACATACAAATCACCTGCAATCAGTGTGCAACTGTGATATCTGTACACTTGAGGAGGCCTTTCCTGGGTTAAAGAGACACTTTCTTTTGTCAGGTTTGTTAGGAAATTCTGAACAGACTTGTTAGGATAAAACTTACCCTAGAAGACGTGTTAATTTACATGTACATGTATGTATACATTTATGTCCCAGTAGCTTCAGTATGATACATGTACATGTGCATAATATGTACCTGGGGTAGGTACATGCACATGCATGTACCGGTACATGTATACATGTATTAAACATGAGCATCAGTCGGTGGGTACTGGTAGTAGGGAATGCCCCCTCCCACTTTCTGAAGTAGCCAGGTAAAACATTGTAGATTGAACATGTTCATATATACAGTACACTGTACATGTTCAATCAGACTCTTTGTACATGTGTACCTGTAGGTCATCTGGCAGCTGCATGATGTGACATTTCATCTACATGTACATGTACGTACAGTATGTGTACCAGTACACCGCTGCACACATGTACGTGTACGTATGCTTTGTAGCAATACACAGTATATATGTACCTGTATGTGTACATGTACATCACTGTTTGACCAGCATCACTAATCAAAATCTGATGTTACATTCACTAATCAAAATCTTATGTTACATTTGAAAATTAAACCAGAGATTAACCGGGGGACATGAAGTCTTTTTTTTTGTCTCAAACCATGGTATTTGCTTCATAATTTTCAGGTTGGATTCAGAGAGTGGCATAATTCATGACTCGAAGGAGCAATATGATACAGACAGAACATGTGTCTGGGTGGTTGACAGTGGCAGGTAAGCTCTGTTTATAATGGTTTGTAAAATACATGTACATGCTGTTTACTGTACATACAGTCATTGGAAAATGTGATCTGAAATCAAATCAATAATTACCTCTGGTTTCAAAAGCCAAAGTGTCTCTTATAACTTGGAAATGTGGACCTGGTGACTAGTACATGTAGGTAGTAAGATAGCAGTACTCAGTACATGCTTCTATCATTTTTGCATATGAATCTGTATTACCAGTTCCGGTATGTACCATACATGTACATGTATTAACAAACCAGTCACTGCTTCATGTACATGTACTTGTACATGTATGTATTATGAATCAAGTTAAACCAATAAGAGATCAGCGCCTTCTACTCTTAAAGTGTATGCTTTTCAGGACAACTGAGGGTGCTGTTACTGGGACGTTGTCCAGGGAAGACCTAGTTCAATGCATTGGTTTTTCTGTTCAAATTGTGGATCCAGAATTTACTTACTGTAAACATGTCTAAAAAAAGATTGATGTTTTCTTTAATAATAATGAATCAGCAAGGAAGAGAAATTTTACTCCATCAAAATCTACAAAAATGGAGGACTTTTTTGTGTACCGGTACATGTACAAACCAATGTAACAATAGGGTTTTTTCCTGGGATGACATCACAGTTGTGCTCATGAATATTGAAATACTCATTAGCATACTGGTAAAGCAGCAAGGGCTGTAATATATCTTTTGAAATAATGAAACAAAAAATTTAAAATAACGATAACTGAGACACATGCATTTTGAAGGTTTGTATTAAAGTTGATTGCAGCTACCCTTTAGTAAATTTTGAATAAGACTTTGGCTTTGAAAATCCAACCAATCGACAACAATGCAATTCTTAACCCATTATATTTATCCTTTGTTCACAACAAGAAGACACAAATTGTCATCTAAAGTGTCCTTTGAATTTTTTATGATCCACATACATCATGACAAAGTCATTAACCTAAAATGACCTGGAACATGAACAAGAAGTAATTAGCCCTTTTATGTAAACATTGCCTCTGTACATACAGCTCAAGGGCCAACTGACAATATTACAGGTTACATCAAGAAACATAATATGGATGCCTTAAACTTTCCCATGTGAATAATGATTTAGAATCATTGGGTGTTTTATATACATTTGTTTAGACTGTTTAAATGAATGTATTATTTCTCTATTTGGGACTGTTTTCTAGGCCAGATACAAGAATCAGCCTATATTTGGAGACATTTGCCACTGAGTGCAGCTGGGATTATCTCTACATTTTCGATGGAGACTCTATATATTCCCCATTAGTCGCAGCTTTTAGGTGAGATTTATGTACATGTATGTAGAACACTTTTAAAATACATAGCCTGTCAGAAAAAAATCGGGCAAAACTGTAGTTTGTTTGGTAATTTTTTTTCACTGTAAATTCCCTTTGCCATTAAAAAGTAAGAAAATGTTAAGTATTAAATGAAGATACGTTTAAAGTTCCTGTAAACTGTGTATTTGTGCAAGTAATGTATACAGTATTCTTTGTATGAATGAAGCAGAGCTTCTATTGATGTGTCCATTTTTTCCATCTCATTACACAGTGGACCTCTCCGCTATAATGATGTCAGTATGGTACATGAAGTCACTACAACATCAGGCTATGCTTTCTTATACTTCTACAGTGATGCAGCATTTAAATTGGAAGGATTTAATATCACTTATAGGTAAAACTCGATATGAATGTGCTGAAGTTTCTTTTAAATTTTTTTAATGTGTGAGATACATGTAAGACAATACTCACCATGCTTAGTATAAATGTATTCTCAGTTGTAACCTGCAAACTTTCCAGAATTGTAAATTACATGTACACATGTACCTTCAGAATGCAGTTAAACATGTGGAGTTAAAATATCACTGAAATTATAAAATCTGGTAAATTAGAAAAAACACTGAAAAATACAAACCCCACAATGCCTTTACAGCTACTGTACACGTATATGTACTATGCACAAATTAGGATGAAATCACATCTACATGTACCTTACAGTTTGCTGCATCTTCAAAAAATATAAGAAGTTGCAATTCAAAGCTAAATCTTACATAACATGGGCATTTCACAATGACAATAGGGTTGCCTCCAAGAGTTTGTAACGCATTGGCCAATCACAATGCGCAAAATCTGTCGATCCTTTCCAAACGCACACTCTTGGGCTGATTTCTGGCAGCTTGTTCTCATACATGTACGTTCATGAACAGCTTGTAGGTCAGCCACTCGCAAACGCAGGGAACGTACAACCGGTTATCACTGGTACATGTAGTTAGTGACAAGCAACGTGGCAGCGTCCATTTACGTCATTTGAGAGTTAATGTTTGGATAACTGGGCTGAATTCTTTTCTAAATAGGAACATTAATTTCTGTGTTATGGAAAACAATTAATGTTAATTTTGTAAAACTTGCTATTGTCCCTGGCTTTGTAAGCCATCGCTCTACTTTTTGCCATGTTTTGCATCTGTTCAATAGTCAAAATCTCACAAATTTTCTGTGTGTTCCTGTAAAACCCTGGCAAAGAGGTGGTGTGTAATCCTGTTCCGAGAACAGTGTTCTTGAGTCGTGTCCCCGCCGTTCGAGTGAGGGAACAAGAAACTTGTGCCAAGAACAGGCCTCCCGAACTCGACCTTGGAGGCGTACTATTGTGAATCATCCATATTACACGTACATATACAGTTAACTCTCTTTAACCCTAACCCCCTTTTGGGACTGTTAGGGTTAAGCTAAGTATTCTGGCTAGCTGTGTTGTGCATGATGTAAAATGTCCCATGTTGTGGAATATATTTTCTGTAGAGTGGATGGCTGTCCATTTGGTTGTTCTAAGCATGGTGAGTGTGATCCAGTGTATAAAAACTGTTCCTGTGACCCCCTCTGGACTGGAGATGCCTGTGACATACCAGCCTGTCCAGCTAACTGCAGTGGTAATGGTCAGTGTAGTATCAGCCAGAAGATGTGTTTGTGTGAACCTGGATTCAAAGGTATGCAAGTTGGAAACATTCGCATTTAAAACCTAAGGAAATTTAAACCCTGATCATGATAATTTGCATCCTTATCGTGGTTAAGAAATGTGAGGAATAGGAACAGAACTGACAATAGTCTCTAACAGTCCTCAATTCTTGACCCATTAGAGTATTCAGGACTGCTGGGTTAATTTATGATGTTACTTTAAGTTTTTTTATTCTTTGTGTAGATAAAAACATCTAAGTTTTCCAGCATGAATTCAGGAATTTGTCACTTTCTGTTAATGTAAATGTACATGTATCAACATTGCAGATGAATTCTTTTGTTACATGAATGTAGTAGATTTGTACATTTAGCTTCTTTGGATCAGCAATATAAGGATAGAATAAGGCATCCCATATCTTTTTGACCTATCCCAGGCAATGTGAGAATTAAATATCAACATGCATGTATCTCTCTTGATTATAGGATCAGATTGCAGTGTGTTATCTGATGAAGGATACTGGCAATTTGAAGACAACAAGGCTTATGGAAGAGCATCACCTGCTGTGGTTCAACAAGACAACTTAGTCTGGATTGTTGGTGGCTATGAGTTTGATAAGAAGAATATCTCAATAGTCAGGTATACACAGTGCATTATAAGAAATTAGGTAACTTAAACATGTACCATCATAAATACATGTATAGTCATCAGTAGAATCTTATTTCCTTGCCTTACATTACTGACAGGATGTCTTTTTATCGCATCTCTTCTCTAATTCCATTAGTTTACCTGCTCAAGGTTAACCTTTCACTTCTCAAACTGAAATTATGTTTCTTTGACCCTTTCATTCAAAGTAAGTTCTAAATGAAGTTATTGTTTCATGTTGCTCACAAACTCATTTCAGGTTTTCCTTGGTACTGTCAGTTAAATTCTATGATTCAAATTATCTACCAAGCATTCTGTGCAATAATTCACTAGTCCTTACAGTCCACAGTCTTTCAACAGGTGAAGGATAGAGGGCTGTTAGGGTTGCAAATACAGTTCTTGAGGGTATATCCTCATTTCCCCTATCTCTTCCAGTCTTAATTTAGATGACAGATCATCTCAAGAAATCACTCAACAAGGAAACATTCCAGAGACTAGATATGGCCACACTGCAGTCCTTTATGAGGTCAGTGTCTTCCATCACTGCTTCCCATGTTTCTATTGAAACATTGAGTATAAATTGTGACATGGACTAACAACAAAAAAGCAAGTAAATTTCATGCGGCTACAATCTATGTAGAGACTTGTATAATGTGTACATATATGTGTGTGGAGATTTCTCTCTGACACTAGTGGGAACCTGTACACTGGTAGTCGGGTCTGTGTGATTATTAACTTCATTGCAAGTGTCATTGATATATGTTGATGTCAGATAGTTAGGTTCACCTTTACAGTAACAGTGACACCAAGTAACGTTTTTTGTGCTGCACATTGACAACCAAAACCTCTCATTTCCTTTCCTAGGATGCAATTTACATGTATGGAGGCTCACTACATGGGAGGAAAGTTGTGGATGAATTTCATATATTTGATGTAACCACATCTACATGGATGCCCAATGTAACATATGATGGTGAACCACTTGCTGTTGAGGGGCACACAGCTGTTCTATATGAAGACACAATGGTGGTGATGTTTGGATACAGTCCCAAGTATGGCTACATCAGTGCTGTTCAAGAGTACAACTTTAGTGAGTAATAGTAGTTTTGACATTAATCTTCCTTACTTCAACCACTCCACATCTTCAGCTCACCTTTGAAAACAGTTCTTATGCTTATTTTGTGCTGAACTGCGCACAAGTTAAAGCTTTGCTTAATTTCCCTGAAGTCAGCAACCCCCCTCCCCAGCCTGTGTCAAAACGCAGTATGTTTAGCATTAAAAAATCTTGTGGCTGTAGGGTTTCTAAGTAAATTTAGCCAGCCAGAAGTGTGCCAAAAATAATGACATTTCATTACATTTTACATGTACATATATTTTTATTGCATTCTGACAAATGTTAACCTGGTTTGTAATATTCTCTTCTCAGTTAACAAAACTTGGACAATCGCAAAAACCACTGGTGCACGAGTTCTTGGGACATATGGCCACTCTAGTGCCGTTGATCCAATCAGGAATATCGTCTATGTCCATGCAGGATTTGTGCCAACTTCCGCTCCATCAGATTTGACAGATGACTTGTATCAGTACGATTTAAGTAAGAAAGAATGGTAAGTAACCTCCTTGGTCAGTACTAGCACTTTAGTCTTGTCACCAGTTTCATGACCATTTGGTTCAGAAATGACTTTGTTATACACGCGGACACACCACTGATAGCAGGCTCCCATCAGATGAACGCTGAAGTTGCGTGTTTACTTCCAGTTCTATGGTTCCACGTAACTCTGTGTGCAGTGGGCGTGGTTTAAACCGAAGTGATGTCGCACTTACAAATCGGATAGGCCTTTACTGAATTTGTACTTCTGATCATGTACCCCGTCCCAATGTCTGTGGTAAACCACCAAGGTTTCCATTTACTGTCTTTTTCCCTGTCTCTCTTGTCTTTACAGGCGAGTCTTACCTTCCAGCAGTCAGCCAAGGTTTCTTCATTCAGCAGTTATTCTCAGTGATATCATGTTTGTGTATGGTGGAAATACACATACAGACTCTGTGCAGTTCACAGGAGCTAAGTGTTTATCCAGTGACTTCCTTGCTTATCACATCAGTGAGTATATTAACTTCATTGATTGGTAATCTCATAAATGAACCTTCCAGTTACAAATATGCTTGGACCATTTAATTTAACTACATACAGTTGTGTGTTTTAATTACTTGAACTGTATGTAGTTACTCCTAAAATGAAAATGGTGTTAAATTATTATTCCAAATAAAAACTACATTAATTTCTGTCTGTCTTGTTGCCACTACAAAAAGTGTATCAGTTGGGACACTTTGTAACATTTGTTTCTCAATGTGGATCCACTAATTACAATATCAACCCAATAAAATGTTGTCTATCAATCTTTGTTTCAGGCTGTCAGACTTGGAGCAGACTTCCTTCAGATGTTTCTTACTCACCAGACATTGCCAGATATGGGCATGCATCATTTGTTTATGACGAGAAGATCTTCATTTACAGTGGTTTCACTGGTGTGATGAAAGATGACATCCTTGTGTATAACCCAGGTTCGTTCTTTAACCAGTTTCAATGTGGTGTTTGAAGTAATTAGCTCTTCAAAGTAAACGTATCTTGGATCTAGTACAAGAGAAGTAACAGTTGACAGTTAATTGATAATCCTAAGCTTGTAGCCATTGGTTTGTATATTAACATTTAATACCAGCACTGTTAGAAACACAACAGTAAGATGTAATAATAGACCGTGTATATCTCTTGGTGCCTAAAACTGATCAGCAATAACTTCGTTCATGTGATTACATAGATCAGGGAAATGGACCATGTTGAATGTAGTTGTGATCAAGATTAACCTTGTGGTAAAAATTATTGAACTTACGGTTGAAGGCTTACAAAGTCACATATAAGGGGACTAGGGGTAATTCCAGAAAGTAGGGGTCATTTTTTGTCGTGTCCCTGTCACATCTGACATACATGTACAATTTTGTTAGTTCAGAACACATTTTCTAATTCCCAAAAGTGATGAATTTAATGCAAATTACCTGTCAAACAAATAGTAACAATTTGAAATCAATTCCAGTGATACTCCCATGTCAAATAATAAAGGTCAGATGCAACAGAGACACAAAAATGTCACATTTTTGGACCCCTTATTTCTGGAATTACCCTTGTATCAATCTCACAGTGAATCTTACTGTTAAATGTTACTGGTGAGAGGACAGTGTCTCAGTGAGTCTTGCTGTTTGATGAGGTTCGTGAGTTGAGAAGGCTGTTAATCTTCTGTTGTGTATTGCCATAGGTAACTGCTCCGCACGTACCAATGTTAGTCTCTGCCTAGAGATCACACCAGGATTATCATGCCAGTGGGATGCAGCAGAAGAGCAATGTATGCTGTCTGATCAAATGATGGAGTCTGCACTTTTATTGGGCAATTCCTCTATGCAGCAATGTCCAACAACTTCCCCAGGTCAGGCGATTATTTCTTGAATAATGTGTTGTTGTGTCCTTGCACACAATGGTTGTTAGACTCATACTCATACACATAGTTCTGCTTCAGATGACAATATACATGTGCAAACATTTATCTGCAGGCAAACTTGAATTCTCAATTCTGATTGGTCGATCCATGACAACAAACATGGTGGTATCGGTATATATCTGTATTGTACGGGTCATATCAAACCCTGCATAATGCACAGTTCTAACACAACACATTTTGCTATGTTTAGGCTAAACAGAAAACATACAGCTGCAAAATTCAAAAATAGCACGTTTGTGCACATAGGCCCTTATGACATCTTTACTGCGTGTCAAGTTTGCTTGAAGATAAATTCATATCATGCTTGCACTCATGAAACACAGAATAATGTAGTGCGTCTGTGCCTCGTATACCACAAGGCCCAAGAACCTGTATTGTGCGGTAGTTAATATTCATAAAAAATTTCTCTCTTTTACAGCTGTAGAATGTACAGAAATTGATAATTGCTCCAACTGCCTACAGACTCCAAGATGTAATTGGTGTAACAGTAAATGCCAACACTTATCTGAATGTGATAATGAAGTACATGTAAGTATATTCTCACCATCAAAAATGATTTTGTTGTCTTCAGTTTATCATGCGACTCAGAAACACCACTTTCTATTCTGGTATATCACCATTTTTCATTTTACTGATAGAACTTGTTGTTTCAGATTGTTTATAAAAACTTTAGGGGAGAAGTCTGTCATGTTGACTCAAGGAAAGCATTTTTTTTCTTTATTACAAGGATGATGTCTTCTGCCCAGACACTGTCTGTGAAGTGGTTCAAAATTGCAGAATGTGCAATGAGCAGGAAGGATGCAGATGGCGTAACAACAAGTGTGACAGAAATCCTGAAGGTAAGTGGTAGGAATCAATGGTTTAGATTTAAAAATCATAGATGAGACACCAGTTTATAAACTGTGTATGAATGAAACTAACCGGGAGTAATTTGGATAATCACAGGTTGCTGAATTGCCTGTCATCCACTTATCATCAAATCATTATCTTCATTGTTGTTGTTTATAATTTTGTAAATGCACATAACAACTCAGGAAGTATTCATAATAAGTACATACATCGTCCTGAGATAAAGTATTAGTTAAAGAGGTGTTGAAAGAAAACCTTCTTTCCCCAATTATGACCTTTATATAAGAGGTAAAAAACCATCTTCTAACATGAAACAGTTGGAACAGGTGAAAAAAGGGGCTTCCACGAGTTATCATTATGTATTATTAATGATATGCCGGTAACCCCAAAACGTCATGGGGAGATAGGGCTATAAACAGTGTACATTTTCCCACCCTAGTCTCATACATGTAGTAGAAGCATGCTCAAAATGCATGTCCATTATTTTTATTGGTCCATCCATCAAGTTTATTTGTTGCGTTTTTGTAATAAAATAAAACCAACCCCGGTCTTGTGCAGTTTGTAATTTCAGGCAGGAATCTCATACACTGAGACTTAGTGTTCTTGATGTTTCCATGCAATAATGTGTTGAATCAATCGCCCCTGGACAACAAAATAAGGGTAGATTAGATATTTAACCTTCCAAGCTGTTGCAGATAAGTTAAATAATAAGGATTTTTTTTTAAGACCGATTAGACAAATTTCCAGCGTATGCAGAGGCACTTCGAATGTAGAAAAGTAATGCATAAGCTTTGCTGACTGCTTGTGTTTTGTTGCCAGTGTATGGTGCTGTGGTCACTGTCAGATTTGGGACCGCAACATGGACAATTTCCATGCCACTGTCCTCATTTATCACGGAGTAGATCATAGTAATTGTCATAAGAATTAAACCACTCACTTCAACTAGAAGAATCCAATAGGTGTTAAGCTCTTTTTCTTTGACACATTGTACAGGCAAATGTACATTCGGCAAACAAGCAAACACGTGGGTTGCTGTCTTTTTTCTATAAGCTTCACATGTACACACATACAGTGTCGCCCACAATTTGGCCCAAGGTTC